TTGGAAGCATGCAGATAGTCCTCAGCTTATGACCGCAATTAGAACCAGAAGTTCTATCACTAAAAATGCAATTATTATATGAGCAGCACCTGATTTTATGTTCTTTTCTGTGCAGTTGTTAAACAAATCACCACATTTGTTTTGTGAATCCAACTTCCCATATTGACTTTGCTTGTCAGAAATCCCCTGTAAAGGTCCCAAATGGCAATCATATGCACTCCAGGATGCTGCAAATGTCATAAATACTTGCTGGTTGCCAGATGTCATCCCAGATGGGGATCTGGGATGGTTATAAGTGCAGGGTCCAATTATAAGTCACTTCCAACATGATCCATCTCTTTTTTTCTGCTTTTTGTTCAGGTCTTTGATGCAACCAACACAACACGAGAAAGACGGGATATGATTTTAGCTTTCGCCAAAGAAAATTCTTTTAAGGTGATTATTTTGTTGCAAAATGTCTATGAAGATTCTCAGTCATCCAGGTCATGGTTGTCCCAAAAGTGGTTTTTTCCAAAAGCAACTGGACTTTTTTTCCTCTTGAAAATGTTTCACTTCTCATCCAAGAAGTTTGTTTAAAGATAAAGGAAAAAACAAAGTCCAGTTGCTTTTGGGAAAAAAGCAGTTTTGGGACATTTTGTTTCAACTTTGCTCTAGTATGAAGTCAGAGACAAATAACAACAACAACAATAATAATAATAATAACAATAAAGTTGGAAGGGACCTTGAAGGTCATCTAGTCCAACCCCCAGCTCAGGCAGGAAACCCTATATCATTTCAGACAAATGGCTGTCCAGTCTCTTCTTTAAAATTTCCAGTGTTGGAGCATTCACCGCTTCTGGAGGCAGGTTGTTCCACTGGTTAATTGTTCTAACTGTCAGGAAGTTTCTCCTTCGTTCTAGGTTGCTTCTCTCCTTGATTAGTTTCCACCCGTTGTTTCTTGTCCTGCCTTCAGGCACTTTGGAGAATAGCTTGACTCCCTCTTCTTTGTGGTAGCCCCTGAAATATTAGAACACTGCTAATGCAGTGGAAATCATATGATTCCAGGATGCTGCAAATGGACATTTGTCTTTTGCTTTAATTTTGATTTGCCAAATGAAAAAGTACTTTTGCCATAGGCAATCTCATGTACCAATTGGTGAATTTCTGAAAATAAACAAACTTTGCTATTCCTACAACATAAATAAGTATCCTAGCTTCATCAACATTTTTTCTATTCAGTGACTTTGTGTCCAGCATATAGTCATGTTTGAAGAAGTAGCTAAGACACGTTCCAGCAGAATATTGACTAGTCTTTTCCAAAAGACATATTGTGCTATGCCTGTGAGTCAGTAAGCAACTCTAAATTGATCATACTGGAATTTTTGTAAACATGTTCCAAATACATTGCTGTAGATTTTTAATGGTTAATTATTGGTTGGTTAAATATGCAAATGATAAAATGATGCATTTTGGAATCCAATAGTTGATTGGATTTTTATCACATTTTAAAAAGATCCATTTGGTCACATCATGTTAGTTGAAAATCCTCACTTCCTAGTCAAAGGTGAACTTTGATTCAGATTCCAACAAACCCTGGAAGCAACCATTTCCTACCATCTGTCCCTTTTCTTGCAGTCTGCAAGATGGAAGAGAGGGAAAAGAGGATGAGAGAGAAATGCGAGAAAAGAGAAAAAGAGAGAGAGAGAGAGAGAGAGAAAGAAAGAAAGAAAGAAAGAAAGAAAGAAAGAAAGAAAGAAAGAAAGAAAGAAAGAAAGAAAGAAAGGAGATAGTACTGTAAAGATAGGACACCACCCATTTGTGGTCTGGTTCCACCCACCGTTTTCTTTGACCTGCCCTCATCTTAGTGTGCAATGCTACCATGAACAAATTATTTTTGCAGAAAAACAGTTCTTGAAAAAAAATTCTTATCCTGGCTCTAGAATTTTTTGTATTTTACAAATTAAAATTCATTTTTTCTTTTGAAGGTTTTTTTTGTGGAATCTGTCTGTGATGATCCAGAAGTCATTGCTGCCAATATATTGGTTAGTATTTTACATTCTCTCACTTTCTTTTGCTCAGTCATTCCTGCTAAAGAAAGAATGAGCATCATTGGAGCATGTTTAAGCTTAGGCTCTATAGCCAGAGTTAGAAGTCAAACCAGTTAGATCCAAGTCAAACCATGAGAAATCATGTTTTCAAAGCAGAAAGAACACAGTATGTGCAACACCATAAAGAGTTCAAAATAGGAAGATAAATACAGATGGTAAATCCTTGAACTGGGCACTGAGTATTAGTCTGCTAATTCTGCTAGCTCTATCCCACTCTGCACAAACCTTTCTCCTTTATATTGCCCTTATATTGCCCTACAGTGACTGCAACATATTAGAGTGCTAGAGTCTTTAGTATTTGTTTGTTTATACAATAATAGATTGTATAAACTGAGTACTGGCTCTGGGTGACATACAAATCAAAACAGATACAGTGTTTAAAAGCAAAGCAAAAAGTACAATAAAAGTAAATAAAGTAAATGGACACATCCTGGCCTATCTCAGAACCTGGGGAAACAATAGGTTTTCAGAGATCATATAAAGGCTTGTAGAGTTGAGGCCATCCCAATTTCTATGGGGATTGGTATTTCAAGGGGCAGGTGTCACGGTAGCAATTGTGCACAACCAATATTCCATCAGCTAACCTTGTTCTGTTAGATCTAATGAGGAGAGAGAAGGTCCTTAGATATTTGGGCCATATGCCATAAAGGGCTGGATAGGTGATAATTTCCCATTGCAGTAGTACAACCACAGGATATCTTAGCATGCATAGGCCATAGGGATGTAAGTCATAAACCCTTGATATATTGTTGTTTCTTTGGGGTGAGGGGAATATTTACTGTGTAATTATGTAACCACCATATATCCTGGTTTGATTACACTTATTCCAGAAATACTAGGCTAGGGTATCTAGAGTTGCCTGATTGATATATTTTAGATAGAAGATAGATGATGCTTGTCTGAGGAATTATAAGAATTGCTGATTAATTATTTTTCTTAGGTTTTCTTGGAATGTTTTACACTGTTCCCAAGAGTAAAACAAGCTAACATTTCTTGTCTCACTGTAAGAGTTAATCAATTTACCAATGGAAAAGTTCCTGTGTCAAACCCAACAATCAATAATGACAATTTTTTTTCACCACTGCTTAGTGTCATTTCCCTGAGTATTCTTTTCCTATTTCACCCAAAAATATACACGCCTGTCTATCTCAGGATAATGATCCATCTATCTGATGGACCAGTTTGTAGGCTATATATTTATGTTACAATAAAAGTTTAGATCTTACAGTGCTCTATTACTAGGTGTGCTATTGCAGAAGATTAACATAGATTCCCCTATGAACTGTCTAATAGGAAAGATACTGTATGCATAAATGCTAGAATATTTTGTATTAAAAGTATATGTTTTTGTTGTGTTAGAGCTTAAAAATAGTGTTGACTCAGTTAAATAGACAATATTAAAGCAGGTAATGCTTTCCCAAACATTGATGCAATCCTTTTGAAAGTATATTCATTAGATGTATTTATAAGATAAATGGATTATAGGATTTAAAAAAGTCTCTTAAAATTATTCGGGCATCAGAATCTGCAAAAATGATACCTAATTACATGAATTGGATCAACTTTTGGAAGCTGGTTATTAATCTTGGAAGGCATATCTGTGTATTAGAACTAGTGCAATTGCTTTTTTAAAAAAATCCTTTCTGTGTATTCAAAAATGATGAAAACTCTATATCTTGTTAGAAGATAATGTTTATTAAAAATAGTTGATTATTGCAGAGCTTAAGATTGTTATCACCACTGTTTATTTCTTTATGTGTATAAAGTTTCTGTATAGATACAGAGTTTATCTTTCAAAAAGTTTGTTTTGGTTGCACCAGGAAGTTAAAGTCTCCAGTCCAGATTATCCAGAAAGAAACCGAGAGAATGTGATGGAAGATTTTCTGAAGAGAATAGAATGTTACAAAGTCACCTATCAACCCCTTGATCCAGTTGATTATGACAAGTAAGATGCACAGCAAAGGAATCATGAGGGTTTTTGATCATAGACTTAGATCCAGAACACACCAGCCAAAGAGGTGACTTTTCTGAAGATCTTCCCTGTGAAAAGCCTCTTCCTGAATAGGTTTGGGCTATGACAGGGGAAGATAAGGTCATCCTTATAAATTTGATGAAATTCAAAGGGAGGAACACTCTGGGATCACAATAAACTACAGAGTTTTTTCAGTTACATTTGTTTCATTCTAAACTCCCTGTGCCTTAGTCCACTCTAAGAGAAACTTCAGGAGAGACTGCTCCATGAGGCTGCCAGGGGAAAAAGAATTGAAAAGTCACCTTTTACCGTACCTCAATCCACTGATACTTCTTGGATCATGGTTACTGCATGTGCTTGGAGTAGAAATGGATGGAAGAACAGATGGGAGGATATTATGGGAAGGATATTGTAGAAAAATGGAGCAAACAATGGAGAATTCAGAAATGTTATGCATGCAAGGGCTATTGTTTCTTACTTATTAAGAACAGAAAGAATTTCTAGTACAAGAATCAGGTTTGGTAACACCTGTTTTGATCTGAGACTGGTCCAGGAATCACTTCTCCTTTTTAGCAATATTTAGAAATAATTTAAAAAGCATTTAAATATTTTTTAACACATTTTATTGTTTTTTTTAAATTCTTAAGAAAAAGTACTCAGGACCCACCGTGGTGGTTGGGTAGTCAAACATTCAAAAGTAAAGACATATATAAACAACACAACTCAATAAATTTCACTATCCCCTCTCTATTCCCCTCAATTAACATGATACACTTAAATATTTCATTTCTATTTTAAATTTCTATTACTATTAAACCTGAGTTATAACTTTTATCAGTTTACAATTACAATTGTTTAAATTTAAAACAAGAAATTATCAATTCTAATTCTTAATCTCTCACATCCCTCATTTTATTACCAATCTCATTTATTTCTTCTTCCACTACACAATAGATATCCTAATAGCAATAAAATATTGATCAGCCCTATATATATGTAATCCCAAAGTCAATCCATCTCTTTAAAATAACGAGATAATATTAAACCTTAATTCATTCAAATTCACCAAACAAAATTCAAATTTTCTCCAATTACTTATCATGCCTTATCATGTCTTTGTTGTCATACAAGAAATCCATCCTAGTAATTTAAAACACTCCATAAAGCATCCCAATCCAAACAATCATCATTTTTTCAATTCCAGTGCATAATGATTTTCATATATTTTCAAAATGCTACATAAATACAATCCAATACATTCTTAATCTGTTTAAAATATCTATTCTAATAATTACGCTAATATATATATATATTTACTTGCTTCTAACTCTAAATCTTAATCCTTAAAACAGTCCATGAATCCAGTATTGCCTTTTAATCCATTACACAGTTTTAGATTTCTCTTTTAAGTCTAATTCTGGCTTTTTTCCTGTGCCAAGAAGGTTTCCATAAACACGCTTCCCTATCAATCAGTGAGTCTATTTTTGTTGCTTGGAATGGTCTTTGAAGAAATAGGAGTCCCATCCTCTGCATCAAGCATCTGTTTTTCTCCTCCTTAAAATATCATTGCTTTGTAGTTTCAAATCTCAATCTTTGCTTCATCTGTTCCTCAAAATTACACATGAGAGATTTTTAGAGTAAAATAAGTTCCTCTTTTATCTCAGTTAATTCCTCTTCTAATATAATTTGGTTTGTAAAATAGTCAGGTATAGTCTGGGCATCTGTTTGAATGTTTGAAGTGAAATTTCTGGATCTTAGTTCTGAAATAGATTCTTTCAATATGTCACAAATGTCTGTAATGGCCTCATGTATCTTTTCCAGTATAAGCTTATAGTTTAATTGTGAATGCAATTTCTCCATTTTGATAGTAGTTAGAAAAAGTCTCTCTTTTTTGTTGTTTTGTTTGTGGAGGCTGCATCTGATAAGAGTTAGTCTATATCTACACCCACAATTCCCACAGCAAAGCTTATCTTTTTCCAAAAATGATTTGAAGATCAGGTCTGGTCTAACTTCAAAAAGTAACCAGAAGGCGCAATATTAAATTTTTGCCACTAGATGTCCTCAGTAAGTTAAGAAAGAGTCTTTTCCAGACAGCATTACCTTGTTTCTATCTTTAAAAGTATAGTGTGAAAGAAGAAACAATCTTCCAACACCAGATGATAGTAAAGTTCTTAGCAGAACAAAAAAGAGAGAGTTTTCTGTATCCCCAAAAATATGAAAGTAAAATTTAATCTTATAAAACACCTTCTTTCCCAAAAACATAAAAGCTGCTTTCTCTAGCCAGGGAAATAATTCCAACACTCTTACAGGCAAAAAACAAAGACAAGTAGAGAGAGTAACAAGGAAAAATCTCACCCGGATTCACCATGGGGGCTCTTACAGCTTAGATGTTCTTGACAGGGCGACTTTCGACCCATATAAGAGTCGACCGGCGGAGGGAAGGCTAGCCGATGAGGAGACGAGTCTCAGCGTGTGACTAGAGATGCCGCGGAAGCCAGCATTTAAATATTTTAATAATTAGTATACTTCAAAAGTGTATCAGTAGTCAGAGATGCTTTTTATATGTCTGAAAATATTTGTTAAAATATAATGGGTTTTTTCCCCTCACGATTCCATAGAAATAAGCTTTTAACTTTCTGCTTTCCAAATATCTTTCTACTACTGTGTTGTCATTTCTCATTCACTGCTTTGGAGTAGTGTATTTGTGTGTGTGTGTGTGTGTGTGTGTGTGTGTGTGTGTGTGTGTGTATCTGCATTTCAGATTTGATCTCCAGAAGGTGCTTTGGACTAATAGAGAAGTGAAAAGTGCAGCTGCACCTTTTCCTAGGATCACATTACATTCTACAGCTGTTTTGCAAGTCCAGTGCAGTGGGTGGGGGCTATTCATCCTCCAGGATCTCTGAAACATCTTTTGGAATCTGAATCCTAAGTACTATCCAGGTCTAATATATAATTAGAAACCGGTTCTCATGTTAAAATAACCTAGTTCAGCTATTTTATGCATCAGCCTTTTTTTTTTTTTGATGCATTCTCCCTAAGTTACAAAAACAGACATTGAATAATTGTGTGATGACTTGATACCTAATAATTTCTGGCATTTTTTTTATTATAGAGACCTTTCTTTCATTAAAGTTATCAATGTTGGGCAGCGCTTTCTGGTCAACCGGATCCAAGACTACATCCAAAGTAAAATTGTCTATTATCTCATGAATATTCACATTCAGCCACGCACAATTTATCTCTGTAGACATGGAGAAAGTGAATGCAACCTTATTAGAAAGATAGGTGGAGATTCGGGCCTGTCCACACGTGGGAAGCAGGTATGGTCTAATTCACAGGAAGTTTGCATATTTTGTATGGCTCTTCTGTGTTTTAAATTCAAAGCAAAGAGGCCATCAAAGCACACACATTTAACATGTTTTTTGCACCCATGTTGTTTTAATGAATTACAGACAAGAGCTACTTGAATTTGCATACTACAGCTAAATTAAGGCAGATGTTCTGCCCACATTTACTTTCAGTTCAGTTTAAGACCAGAAACATGTGCTCAAAACAACAAACATTACATTCTAAATTTACTAATTTTTGCTGGAAGAACAGTTCAATAGTATTCTGAGAATACCCATAGATATCATCACCTTACACATCATTAAACACATTAACAATGATAAAATGTGTTTTAAATAAAATGAATGTTTAGCATTTATATCTCAAATTTTCTCTGTGATATCTTCCATCCCTAGTTATTTTACCCTAAAAGATTGTGATTACTCAAAGGAACCAACTCCTTGGTGCCTGACTAGTATATTAAATATTAGATTACTTTTATTGTAAATCAGAATACATAGTTATCACAGAAACTCTGCCAAGTTGGATAGAATTGTTTACAATAGAAATATTTTATATAAACAATTTACGCAAACAACTGTAATAACCCACTGGCTGATATGTTATTTTTAGATAATGGATTGCAGTCATATTACCTTTCCTCGATGGAAGGTTTCTTTCATGCCCTGCTACAGTCCATTGTACATCTCTAAAATTGGCCTGTAACACGGAAGAATTCTTCAGAACAGTATATTAACAGTATATTAAATTCTTTTCTATCAAAAAACTTTCTATTACAGTTGGAATTGTAGCACAACAGTTGGAAACAAAAAAGGGCTATGACCGTTGGCTACAATACAAGAAAAATGGCGAATTTTATATTGAACTTTGTGAATATAAAATTTTAGCTTTGTATGACTTGGGGAGATGAGTTGCTTTCTACAGCTTCCAAACCACTGTTCCTAATGCCACCTTAGAAATTTTCCCTGATAATGTAAGCAGCACAAAGCCAAGTTGCTGTCCTTATCTTCATAATAGGGAAGGGGAAATCTTAATCATGCTGTATTGTTTTCTAGTTTGCTGGAGCATTGAAAAGGTTTATCAAAGAGCAAGAGATTATGGATCTGAAAGTTTGGACTAGCCAGTTGAAAAGAACAATCCAAACAGCAGAAGCTCTAGGAGTACCATATGAGCAATGGAAGATACTGAATGAAATTGATGCAGTGAGTAGAATGGCAGAAAAGTTAAACACTGGTCTCGGGATAGTGGTGATATAGTTTCAAATAATCTTCATTGCCATAAAGATAAGCTGCATACAATTTCATCTGTCTGTCTGTTTGTCTGTCTGTCTATCCATCTATCTACTTCATACATTAAATTCAAAAATAAATCCCAATTCAATAGGACAGTTATGGTTGCAGACTCTAAGCACTTTTTATCGATACATCAGGTCCAATGTTGTCAAGCTCCTCATTGTTCTGGAATAATAGATGGTAGAATATATCTGCTGTCATGTTTGAAGAAATGTAAGTTTTGGAAAAGACAAACATGTTTAAGTTAAATTATATTCATTTGAGTTCAGTTCTTAATTTTCTAGGGAGTATGTGAAGAAATGACATATGAAGAGATTCAGAGAAAATATCCAGAAGAGTTTGCACTTCGAGATCAAGAAAAATACCTTTACCGCTATCCTGGAGGAGAAGTGTGTTTTTTTTATCATTGCTATACTAAATATTGCTGCTGAACTAAATGTTACCACTTTGATTTGTTAGAGTTTGAAGTGTGTTGCAACAATTGTCCCTTAATATAATTTTAAAAAAAGAACTATAATATACAACTCTCCTGGAGCTGGTTGAAGAATGGCATAATAAACATGCATTATCATTTTGGGGCAGAAACACAGCAAGTCTTAGTATGGCATAATTGCTTCCAGAAATTCTTATCCTCAAAGTCTTAACTTCTAATACACTGTTAGATTTTGAAATCTGAAATGCTATCAGAGCCTTATGAATCATCTCAAATTATGCAATTTTACCCACTGACAGATGTTCAGGTGTTATAGTAATGCCAATAAAGAATTAGGAAGTTCTTGATTTAGAAATCTTGCTTCTCCCAAATCAAAACAATGCATGTAAGCTATGTTAAATATTCCAAGAAAGGCCCATGATGTAATGTATGTAATATAATAGATAAAATATAATAAATAGTCAGCTAGTTGGAAAAATATTTGGATACTTTAAGAGCATATTTATTGGCAACTTCCCTCTTTTTGATTAATATTTTTCTTGGGCTTCTTTAGTCTTACCAAGACTTGGTCCAGCGCTTGGAACCTGTAATTATGGAACTGGAACGTCAAGAGAATGTCCTAGTTATTTCTCACCAGGCAGTTATGAGATGCCTATTGGCCTATTTTCTTGATAAGAGTGCAGGTAAAAAAAACTTTTCTTTTTATAGCATACAGAAATAAGGCAGTGATTATCTAGAATAGAGGTGAGCAGTCTAGATGTAGCTCACACAGTTCCTTCTCTAAGCTTTAGATCCCCAGTTCACATACTTGAAGTTGATCATTGTAGCTTGCCATAGAACTTCAGCTTGTAGTTCTTTTCTTTGGTACTTTTCCATGGCAACTCTTTGGAGGAGCTTCGTTTTTCGATGCTGATTTTTTTTAATGTCATAGTTTCTGAATTGCTTCCTTTTTTAACATTGCCCCACCAACTTTTATCTTACAACCCCAACCACCATTGCTACGCTGCCTTTATGTAGTAAAACCAAACTGTATTTAGTCTTCAATTATCAAGAGGTTTCCCATCCTTGACAGGAAACAAATTATAAACTACATATGACAATAAATGTATAATTAGCAATAGCACTTAGACTTATATACCACTTCATAGGGCTTTACAGCCCCTCTCTAGATGGTTTACAGACTTAGCATATTGCCCCAACAATCTGAGTCCTCATTTTATTGACTTCGGAAGGGTGGAAGGCTGAGTCAACCTTGAACCATTCAGAAAGGAACTCCTGGAGTGAGCAGTGAGTTAGCCTGCAATACTGCACTATAACCACAGCGCCCCCATGGTTCTAATTAGTAACCACATCAGTTTAAGAAATAACAATATTGATAGCAGCTATGAAAATAGGCTTCACTCAGAACTGCAATGTGCAAGGAGGGGAAATTTCCTTTTTCGCTCGCTTTAGTCCAGATGAAACTCAGCCTTCATATTCACACATATTTTTCCTCTTTTTCTCCTGAGTTTATAAAGCTGCCATAGTTACTAAAACAAAGTTGGTTTGTTGTTGATTATTTTCCAGACTAGATATGATTGTCCTGCCTAAAGTTATTGACATTTTGGGCACTTTCAAAACATACATATGCACATTCAGTGGATTTTACTGACATTGGAGCCAGTAATCTCCAATAAAGTGTGAAATTATTATTTGACTAGGCTTTATTGCAAGTTTGTTTATCTATTTTTATATTTATTATTTCTTTATATTCTTTAAATATTAGAATAACTGGGTTAATTACTTGCTACATTAACCATCCCCAGTCTAGGATAGTTTATGGTAATTAGATTGAATTCCATCTTGAAATTGTTAAATTTCTACACATTTCTCACAAATTGTGTGAGAATGTAGTTGTATTGCCTCTATTCTGTCCCTCAGTTCTAATTCTAAGGTTCTCTGCATGTCACATTTCAGAACCTGCAGATTTGTTCATTAATATATATTACATTCCTGCTCAATCAAAGTATACTGTGTATTTTAGATTACTGTTTCAGCAGATCTGTTTAACTTTTATTACTTTATCTTAGATGAATTGCCTTATTTAAGATGTCCTCTTCATACCATCTTTAAGCTTACACCAGTTGCTTATGGCAAGTATTATTTGTTTATGTAGGAACATGGGAGAGAAAAGCAGTAATGCAGATATCTATTTAGCATATATTTCATTAGATCAAGTAACTTCTATTTCTTGAATTAATAAACATAATTAGTACGTTATATATTATTTTTAGGTATATGTGGGGCTTTTACCCATATCAGTTTCCCATTATAAATCATGATACTTTTCCTAATAAAACATGAGAAATTAAATCAATGATAAGCTAAATTAAATGTGACTTGTTGGGGAATAGCTAATTAAATAATTACAGTGAGATCTGAGTCTTCTATCTATGTCTAATTCTTGCCTACTTTGGCATAATACTTCTTGGAGTCTATGGGACTCAAGTATTTCAGGTCTCTTCCTTGATAAATATTGCTTTTCATTTATCTGATGATCGTATAGTACTTCCTCTCTAAAAATGATGCCTAAAGTTCTGTATATTTTCAATTTTATGAAGGCTGTAAATTAGAAATGATTTCTCTGAATGTTGAAGCTGTAGACACTCACCGGGATAAGCCATCCACAGTGGTATGTATTATTTTTTGTTTGGTTATAACTCCTCTATCTTCTTATCTCTTTTATATTTCATTTCTGACTTAGTCATGGTCAATCTTAGGTAATTCCCAAGAAAGGGAAGAGTGAAAACAGTACTATATTTATAACGGGTTTTTCCTTTCTTTTGTTCTCCCCAAAACTGTGGGGAAAGCAAATTTTCATAAATATAGAAACCATAAACTAAATTCATAAAATTTATTTTATACTGATAAATGTTTGGTGATAGTTTGTGGACAGCTACATTGGACATATTAAATACTCCACAAAATGCAGACTTTAAAAAAAAACATGAAAGGATTAGATCAAGATAGAACAACTATGTCCAGGTTTAATTTCAGATCACTCATTGGTTAAAATTATGTAAAAATATTGTAAATTCTTCATTTCTGAGAAGGGACTGCTAAGGCTTTATTCTGTTTGCAAATATTAGCTTGGGCAGAGCTTCAAAACGCTTCTTTGTGATGATGAAGGCCCATGTGAAGCACCCTTCATGATGCTGTGTGAAATAGTGGCCCCACCTCCAAGAGCCATGTTACTTCACTTTACATTAGCAACCGAAAGAAGATTCTGTGAAGATGCTGCATTTGTACAGAAATCTCTCTGACTCTTCTGTTAATCTACTGGAAATGGTAGAAGAGGCTTCTGCACGAAGTCAACACATATAAAAAACTTTTTTGAATTACCAAAACTTGCAGATAAGACTTTGTGGAGATACAAAGTGCCTCAAAAAAGGGAATTGACAAGTACTTTATCAATAAAAATAACAGTTACCTCTTCCAGGCTTACAAATATGTCATTTCACATGCACAATAAGGTAGAATATGCTCCATTTGGGTTTTTTTGGTTTTTTTTTTAATAAAAAGTTTTTATTTTCCATTTATTCATCATACAAAATACAAAATACAATTTACAAAATAAAATAAATTCATGACCATTGATACCACCTGCCCATTCCCCCCAGGCTGCGTCCACCCTCTCTAAACCTTCCCTACTTCCCTCCTCTTTCTCTCCTCCCCTCCTACTCTCTCCCCTCCCCTTCTCTTCTTACCATCCTACTTCCTCCCTACACCTTCCTCCCCTCTCATCCCTCTCAGACACATGAACACAACATAGGGGAAATGCCCAAGCAGCACCTCTCTCATAAACTACCATATCTATATTATCCTTACCCACCCACCCACCCACCCACCCTCAACCCTCCCCCCTCACTTCCCAGAGCAGAGTACAGGGTTATTAATAACAATGTTAACAATAAAAAGAAGAAAAGAAAAAAGAAAAGAGAAAAAAATATATCATACTTAACCTTTAACTCCTATATATCATAAGCAAATCTCTACAACATTTACTAAAAAATTTACTCATAAGATAAATAAAACTTTGTAGTCCCGTACTTTTTCTGAATATAATCTATCCATCTTCTCCATACAATAATATATCTGTCTTGTGTATGATCCTTCAAATAAGCAGAAATTTTTGCCATTTCTGCAAAACTAGAAATATCCATTCTTCTAAAGTAGGCAACGAATCTTTCTTCCAGTATGAGCCTACTAGTAACCTTGTTGCAGTTAATAAATTCAACATTAAAATAGTTTCTTTGTCATTTAAGTCCACAAAAATACCCAATAAAAATAATTGAGGAGTAAACTTTATTTTCCTTCTAAAAATCTTTTGAATGTTCCACCAAATCATAATCCAAAAAGTCTTTATCTTTTTACAATTCCACCAAATATGAAAATATGTTGCATCCATATTACCACATCTCCAACATTTGCGTTGTAAATTAGAATACATACAAGATAATTTTTTAGGATCTAAATGCCATCTATAAAACATTTTATAAAAATTTTCCCTCAGATTTTGAGCTTGTGTAAATTTAACATTTCTGATCCAAATTATCTCCCATAAGTCCAATGGGATTGGTTCCTGGATATTCTGAGCCCATTTAATCATACGGTCTTTGACCAATTCTGTTTCTGAGTCTAATTCTATTAAAGCACTATAAATTCTTTTTATATGGGCCTGACTCTGATCTTTAATCTGAATAACCAAATTTTCATCTTCTAATGTTATTCCCTCTTTCTTATCTACAGTCCACCTGTCCACTATTTGTAAATATTGAAACCATGACTGTAGAATATTTTTTTGCCTTAATATATCTAGGGATTTTAAATGCCAGTCCGAACCTGACCAAATTAATAATTCTTTATATGAAATTTTATCAAAATTCATCCCCTTAGAAATTCCCTCAACTGCATGTCTGGGAATCCCCCAGATAGGTATTTTATAATTTAACCTATAATAATACTTTTTCCAAACTCGAAGTAAGGCATTCCTCAAAATGTGTGATTTGAAAGTCCGGTCCACTTTCTTATTAAAAATTAAATATGCATGCCAACCGTACATTAAATCCCACCCTTCAAGAGACAGAATATCCTTGTTTGTTAAATTGAGCCAATCATTTATCCAAGTTAAGGCAGCTGCATCATAATATAATTTCAAATTAGGTGCCTTAAGTCCTCCTCTTTCTCGGGCATCTTGCAAAATCTTAAACTTAACCCTTGGTTTTTCCCAGCCCAAATGAATTTGTTGATACCCCTCTGCCATTCCTCCAAATTTACATCTTTTTTTAAAATAGGTATCATCTGAAACAAGAAAAGAAACTTTGGTAGAACATTCATTTTTACAGCTGAAATTCTCCCCAACAGTGACAATTGCAATTTTTTCCAATCATTTAAATCCTTTTGTACTTTTGCCCATAATAATTCATAATTATTCTTATACAGTTTTCCATTTGAAGCAGTTAAATATACTCCCAAATATTTAACTTTTTTCATCATCTGAAAACCTGTGGCTTTAACCAAACTTTCCTTATCATTAACTGCCATATTCTTGGGTAATATCTTAGTCTTGTGATTATTAACTTTAAAACCAGAAACCTTCTCATACTGTGTTATAAGTTCTAATAGACAATCAACCGCTTGAGTCGGTTGTTCCAAAATTAAAACCAAATCATCCGCAAAAGCCTGCAATTTATACTCATTCTTTCTTATCTTTATACCCTTGATTACTGTTGATTCTCGAATCTGGATCAACAAAATCTCCAATGTTAAAACAAATAACAATGGAGATAATGGACATCCTTGTCTTATCCCTTTTTCAATATTGAAAGTCTCAGTCAGTCCCCCATTAACAACAATTTGAGCAGATTGTTGCTGATATATAGCTTTAAGTGCTTGTAAAAACTTATCCCCAAAATTCATTTTCTCTACCAATGAAAATAAAAATTGCCAATCTAATTGGTCAAAAGCTTTTTCAGCATCCAAAAATATAAAAGCCACAGGAATCTGATTGTTCTTATTCAAATACTCAATTAAGTTAATAATTTGTCTTACATTATATTTCATATATCGCCCTATTATGAATCCTGATTGATCACTATGAATCAAGTCCTTCATGACCTGCATTAATCTATTTGCCAAAATTTTAGTAAAAATCTTATAATCAATATTTAACAATGATATTGGCCTATAATTCTTGGGCTCTGTAAGATCTTGATCCTCCTTCAGAATCAATGATATAAACACTCTTTTCCAAGAAGGAGGAACGTGTGCTCCCAACAAAATACTGTTAAAGAGCTCCTTTAATGACTCCATCATTTCTTCAGATAAATTCTTATAATATGTCGACATCAATCCATCTGTTCCTGGAGACTTATGCTTCATTTGTTTTTGTTGTTGTGATTGTGCTTTCCAAAACTGTGGTTTCACTTCTTTTGCTCTGAGTTCTTTGCCAGATTGTACCTGGCAACACTGTCTGATTTCATATTAATTACATTTCTGCATGCCAGATTAAATATCCCATAACATAGTATTTTTTTGGCTTTGTTTACATTATTAGCATGATCTCTTATCTGTTAATTTATAGAGAAAGACACAATTGCTTTGATCCTCCTGACAAATGTAACATAACTTTTAATATTTATTTTCTTCAATATTAAGCATAAAAACAATACTGACATTCTGTTTAAACATAGTTTCCTATTGGCTGGTTAGGCCTTTAAGAACCCATACACAGGCCCCATCCCAACAATGTTGTGTGTCTTGCTCAACAAATCAAGTATAAAACAAACTGTGGCTTAGTGCAATGTGTAAACATACAGGGAGGAGTATGTAACCTGGTGGCGAGAGAAAATCATTCCGTAGATTTTTAGAAATACTTTCATTGAAATGAATGCCACTAATTTTTAAACTTGCAGATATGCATTTAAATTAATTCATGCAAATTGGTATTTAATCTAATTGAAATGAATGCCATTAATTTTTAAACTTGCAAATATGCATTTAAATTAATTCATGCAAATTGATATTTAATTTAATTGAAATGAATGCCATTAATTTTAAACTTGCAAATATGCATTTAAATTAATTCATGCAAATTGGCATTTCACATATGCGCTTTGAATCTTTTTCAATTAATTGGTAATGTTCTAGATAGCGGCCTGTATCTGTTCTTGGCAGATTGTCACAAAGCAAAATCAGTGCTGGCTAGTTCTTGGATGGGACAGCAGAGAAACACCTGGGCTGCACGCTAAATCAGCAACTTGAAAGAGAAAAAAAATCCCAAACAAAGGAAGAGCCATCCACTTCTGTATTATTGCCAGGAAAACAATGTTCATATAGTCTCCAGTGGTCAAGGTCAATTGAAAGGAGATAATTCTAGTTTAATACTCGTGCTTAGATATCTGCTTTCCAATATACTTTTATTTCTATATTTCAAAGCTTTAAGCTATGTCATATAATGCTATTGATTGCAAAAGTGCAGCCTCACATTTTTTTTCATAATCTAGCGGAAAAAAATGTTGACTTCAGAGTTAAACTGCAAAAATGTGAAGGCCACAACAATAATAATTTCTATTTTAAAAAATGCTGACTGAAGTTTCCTAGTCATTTAGTCATAAGATATATCCATGGAAAATATTTCTGTTCTTATGCAAAGAAACTCTTGGGAAATTTTTTTCCATCTGTAACTGTCATAGGGTGTGGAGGACTTAGTCATGCATCCTACCCACTCAGGAATCTAGTGGACCAGAGGAAGCAATAAAATCTCACTTCAGTCTCCTAACATAGAAATTATTTCTATGCAACAGTAGATATTGTACAAATTCTTATGTAATGCCAGTATAAATTTGTCCTGTATTAGAAAATAATATAAAATAGGAGCTTAAAAGTCCTTATTGTACGTGAATACCCATTCTGTTGAGCCAAAGTGGGCACTGGATAACAATCTTATATCAGAAATAATATACAAAACAGTGGTGTTGCAGAGAAAGATTTATGCTGACAAAATTGGAAAAGGAAAATTTTCCTTTCTATCTGTAATCCCCAGGTACTTTTAATATTTTGCTCTGTTGTATCTCCCAGGCTACAGAACAGCTGTTAATGGTACTTAAGAGAGGGAGAGAACGAAATCTGTCTATGGATCCTTGAATTTCATCCCTATTCTTTGCATGCTATTGATATTATTTTATGTATTTATAGCATGAAATACATATCCTATGCTCTATTTCTAATTCTGAATCAATTTTTTCAACTACTAACTTGCTGTGAGTTAATCTCTAGAAATTGACACCTCATCCCAGTTTTTTTGTAGGAAAAGTAATATCTGAACATAACTTTGTTCACTATTTTAAAAACATTTCCACCCAAACTACAACAGTGAAAAGCTGCTGAAATAACAAAATCCTACTAAAATAGTTAAATATCATGATAAATAGGTACGTTTGGTGTAATAAAGGGACTGAAAGCTACCACTGAAAAGGTATTAGGCAAAAGAGTTTCAACAGTTACTTTCCAAAAGGCCCTGTCCACTGTACTATTAAGCTCTTTGCTTTGAAAGGTAGACAAGACCTTCAGCCCTGATCAAGTGTAGGCAGCTTAATACTGATAAAGTTGAACTTTCCGATAACCTGGATCCAAATCATATAGTGTTTTAAATAGCAAAACCCATCATATAAATTGTATCTGAAAGCAGACTTGTGGCCAATACAGGTGGTATAATAGAGATATCACATATTTCAACTGTATCTTAAAAATGATCACTGTGTACCAATTGCAATGTCTGAATGATCACATTATAATAATTCGACTGTAGCATAGAATACTGAAACAAGATTCCTCTGGTGTCAGAGTTGTCTTAGTTATGCAAATCAAAGTATGCATTTTAAAACAGAAGCTGAAATTACAGAATTTATGAGAAAAAATATTTTCTACCTTTCAAGACTTGTAAAATCAGCAGTTAATATGTAAATAGCCTTTAGTCTATTTACATATTTACATAAAATGCTTTATTTTTTCCACTGCAGATTTATCAGAAACAAATACTTCTAGTCATTTTTTCTGTTTAAAAAAATATGAATTTCTTGCTGAACATTATGTTTTATTAATTTGGAAATTAATTAATTAATCTTTTAAAAGACAGGATCTTCTTCAGTTTACAATAATTGCAATGAAGACAGGCAAAATAAGATGCTTTCTATTTTTTTAACACATTGTTGCAGAAACTTTATAATTAAGAACAGGCAAAATTAGTTCCTTACTCCATTATGATTTCCCCCTTGGTTTACTGAAGAGGTGAGCAATTGTCACTTCTTTAAAATTCAGCTGCTGAAAGCCCTAGAGACTGTAGCAGTGACATTATCAGAAAAGGAAGGAAGGGATTTGTAAAAGTTCTCAGCCAGTCAAAATCTTTATGTAAACAAGGAAAAATGTACCCAGCAATCAAGGCTGGGAAAAGAATGGCAAGAAATCCATTAACTAAAAAGCAGAGGAAAAGATCTAGCAGATATGCAGTTTATGTTTATTTTTAATATGCTTTCTTGCCAAACAGTTTTGTCCTTTTATTGGTCTGGGCCTTGTGTTAGAGCAGGGCTTTTCAACCTTTTCACCTATTGTACCACTTTTAGGATATGGCAATATCCGAGTACCACCAGTCGCCTAGCAAGGTGTCAAAAACTTGATGACTAAAAAAAGAAAAAAGTGATAAAGTACAGGTAGTCCTCGACTTACAACAGTTTGCTTAGTGGTTGTTCGAAGTTACAATAGTACTGAAAAAAGTGCCCCCCAAGCCACAGCCAAGCAAGATACCTGCCGGCCCGCCCGGCGGCACTCTTCCTCCTGTCTGAGGTTTTCATTGTTGTGAGCATTTATGTTGAGGATTGGCAGTGGGAATGGGGTGGGGGGTGTTTGGTTTTTATTTCCCCCCCCCCCGTCTGCTGGGTGGTTGCAGCAGGTTTTGGTCACTTCACATGACCCTGGGACACTGTGACCGTCATAAATATGAATCAGTTGCCAAGCATCTGAATGTAAATCACAAGACCCTGGAGATGCTGCAACATTCCAGCTGATCAGTGCTTCTTCTGGGCTCAGCAGAAGCAGCAGGATCAGCGCAGAGCTCCAGCCAGAGCCTGGCTCTGGCGCTTCCACTGAGCCCTGAGAGCCCTGCAGCTCCAGCCATCTCTCGCTCAGGCTTGTGCGGTGCCGCCACCGGTTCAGCTCATTCCCCTCCCCCACCCTTTTCTAGGGTGCTCGCGTACCACCTGCCAGGTGCCAATGTACCACAGGTGGTACCCATACCACTGGTTAAAAAGCCCTGTGTTAGAGGCCTTAAGACTGGTTCCCCCTATAGTGGTGTGTGTGTCTATGTGAGCGCCCATGTCTTATATAGTTTTAGTACTATATTAGCTGCTGACCAGTAGGAGGCACTAAATGACTGGACGAAACGGGATAGCTAATATGACTTCTAATAATCTAAGATTTAAACTCAGGGTTGACATATAATTGAGATTAAGTTTGATCTGCCTTCTACAGGAATCAATATCTGCATATACATTACTTTTGCAATAAATTAACTGACCTAGGTGGATTGAGCCTGAGGAGCTTCTGAACATGGGGATATTGTTTCTGGAAAGTTGATATTTACTGTTGGACCTAGTATGAAATTTGACAGGTTTGCACCTATTGACCCAAGTATGTTTAGGAGAAGGGTAAATAAAATCTTAGTGTTTCATTCTCTCAGGAGGTTAAAACTTCAGTATTTTCATGCTTTTTATTTGAATAAGAAGAAAAATCACCTCATGCATTTTGGTAGTGTGGCCTGAGGTGGTTCAGGAGTTGATAGATTGCAGATCTTTAAGAAAATATATGGCAAAATCTGGTTTGCCCCAGAGGACATGGATAAAATTAGATTGCATCCAATGCTGACATGCACCAAACTTTTGCCTGTTCCCTTTGCCTCTTAAAGTGATTTGCTGCTATTCTGTACTGTTACATGGCTTCCCCAAGTCCTTCATATCAGCTTTCGGGGGTTAGGCATGGGGAATGCAGTGGAAAAAAAGGTTGGGCTCAGCAAAACTCTACTTATCTTACCTTGTTCAAGCCGAGTCATTTCCTACTTGTGTACCAGCACTCTTGGATGCATCTTATATTCACATTTCTTAGATGTCTTAGGAAGCAGGATTTTCATTATCACATTGTGTGCTATAGGGCAGAGATTATTGGGGGTGGTGGTGGGAGCACCTGGATGGATAGCATCAGAAACAGTGGCATTGTTTTTTGCTTTGTGGGTTAGTTTATCATTCTTATGGTATCCTCCATTTTTAATCAGAATAACCTTCCAAAGAGCCAAACCCCTGTAAGGATGAGAAGGAACAGCTTTACACCACTAGCCAGTCCGGACACACTAAAACGGCCTCGCAATTACAGTGTTGGGAGTCAGCCTCTCAACCCGGCAGGATCCCTGCTATTCCAGGAGGCTCAAGATCAACAAAAGCTTCAAGAGAGTGTTCAGGCGGTAATATCCTAAATCTCTACTCCAATTTGTACCACTGCCAAAACAAACAAGAAAAAGAAAGGCAGTTAAAGAGTACCTGCAACTGTGTATATGTGTATGTATGTATGTGTATGTATGTATGTGTATGTATGTATGTATATGTACATGTACATGTACATATACATACATACATACATACATACATACATACATACATACATATATATATATATATATATATATATATATATATTAGGTTTTAGGTTTTTGCTAACAAAGAATAAAGAGAGAATGGTATAGCTATTTCGGGTTCCTTTAACCCTCATCAGCCAAACTTACTCTTCTGAGTAAGTTTGGCTGATGAGGGTTAAAGGAACCCGAAATAGCTATACCATTCTCTCTTTATTCTTTGTTAGCAAAAACCTAAAACCTAAAAATGTAAAATGATGTCGCAGTTAGTGACTGCTGCTTGTGGATGGCTCTAGATGGATGGCTCTAGATTGAGCTGATACAGGCAAAAGAAAAGAAAAGAAAGAAGATTTCTTTCTCCCATATCTGGGCTGACAGGGTGTTCATTCAAGGTAAATATATATATATATATATATATATATATATATATATATATATATATATATATATATATATATATATGAAATAATGCTAAAGATAAAAGAATGACTCCTGGGTGTGTGCATATTGACAAATAAAATGTGAGCACCAGGAAGAAGTAAAACATTAAAAGTTTTATAAAACGCTAAAAGTTTAAATATAAAACATTTAAAAGTTTTTAAAAACTTTTAAATGTTTTATATTTAAACTTTTAGCGTTTTATAAAACTTTTAATGTTTTACTTCTTCCTGGTGCTCACATTCTCTCTCTCTCTCTCTCTCTCTCTCTCTCTCTCTCTCTCTCTCTCTCTCTCTCTCTCTCTCTCTCTCTCTCTATATATATATATATATATATATATATATATATATATATATAAAATAAAATATAAAAATGAACACTAGGGTAATAAAAACTAAGGAAGTTTTTAATAGGTTAAAACTATAAAAGTTTTAAAAAGCGCCAAGCTTTCGCCGTCACCTGCTGGCATCCTCAGGGCTGGCGTGCCAGAGAATGAGAAAGTCTTTTTATAGGCGTGCCGAGGTTTGCGCTCGGCTCCTTGATCTTGTTATGGGGCCTGATTGGTTCAGCCGTATGTAGTTGGCCTGCACTTTTTTTCTCTTCTTAGTTGTATTTTTATCCTCGTCCGTCTCCAGTTCTCCCAACCTCAGATTAGCTGAATGGCAATTCCAGTTATTTCGGTTGCTTTCATGTTCCGATCTCCCCTCAGGCTTGGGTGGTGGTGGACGTTCCAAGTTCCTTTCTCCACCCCGTTCTGTCCGGTTGCTACTTTTAGAGTCCCATATATTTCCGGTCTCAATGCTTTCGGTTTTAATATGTTTATCATCCTGGTAATCCCGTAAATTGTTACGAGTCTGGTGTAGCGTGGGGGGGTATTCCGCATGGTGGAGGGGTCGTCTCTTGTTCGTTGTCATGCCCAGCTGTCTCGCACGTGTCTTACTCCGAGTGCTCAATCCTGGGGGTGTGTGCACAGCCATCGAGGCGCGTCCCTCCTGGTTACAGTGTTCTTCCTCAGTTCTCCCCTTTTTTACCTTGTTGGAAGCGCTCGCGTATGTTCTATGGGAGTCCTCAGGATCGTCAGGTAGGGGGTATGACAGCTCGATCTCTCGCCTCCTGCCGCTCTCCGACTTTCCTTCCTCCTCTCTAACGGTATGTAGGGGTTCATCATCAACCACCTCCCGTGGTTTGTCCTCGTAGGAGCTGATCGTTCTAGCTGCATGGAGGGGTCTTCTCCTCCTTTCCCGACCAGCTGCGATGTTTCTTTTGGTGTGTGGGCAGGCCATTGCGTTTGGTGATTCCTCCGCATTTCCACCTGCCGTATCTTCCCTCATCTCCTCTTTGTAGCCGGGGGTCCGGACCTTGGTTCCTGTCCCTCCCCTGATCTTCTGGGATTGCGGCAGTCCCGCGGGGATGGTCGAGGTGCCTCGCGTTTGTTTCCCTTCTTTCGAATTGCACCTGATTCGTTGGGCGGTGCGGGTGCTACCCAGATTGTTATCAGGCCGTCGGGGGTGTTGCCGCTGATTATTGGCACTCCATGATCTTAAGGCTAGATAGGATGGGCATAGGTCAATGTGCCTATTAATAGACTTACTGCCTGAGAGCCATGCCTCTCTAAGAAGGCGGCCCCCTTTGGTGTTATCATTTGCCAATACACTGACGTCACTAAAGTTAAACTTATGGCCTAGATCCACCATATGGGCCCATATTTGGGAGTGACAGTCTCTCCTTCTCACTGCTAATTCGTGCTCGTGGACCCTGGTCTTAATGCGTTTAGCAGTCTCCCCAGTATAATTACATTGGCAGTCCGTACAGTCAATCCTATAGACGGCTGCTGATCTTTCGGTACTGGGGAGCGGGTCCTTAGGGCGCATTATGGCCGCTCGCAGTGTTTGGTTGGGTCTATGGGCCACCTGTATTTTGTGTGGTGCCAGGATCCTAGCTGTGGCTTCCGATACGTTATGGATATAGGGGAGGGCAATACGTGTGGTGGCTTGAGGCACGGGTTCTTGAGATGCAGGGTTACTCCGGAGTCCAGGTGGTCTCCTGAACTGATTAATGATTTTAACCGGGTAGCCGTTGCCTCTACATATTTGGAAGAGGTGGTTTCTCTCTTCTTTTTTGGCTTTGACGGTGCTGCAGTGTGTCTCCACTTGTTTGAATAGCGTCCTGACACAACTGGCTTTATGGGCCATCGGGTGATTACTCCTAAAGTGCAGAATCCTCTCTGTACACTCCCCAGTACCGAAAGATCAGCAGCCGTCTATAGGATTGACTGTACGGACTGCCAATGTAATTATACTGGGGAGACTGCTAAACGCATTAAGACCAGGGTCCACGAGCACGAATTAGCAGTGAGAAGGAGAGACTGTCACTCCCAAATATGGGCCCATATGGTGGATCTAGGCCATAAGTTTAACTTTAGTGACGTCAGTGTATTGGCAAATGATAACACCAAAGGGGGCCGCCTTCTTAGAGAGGCATGGCTCTCAGACAGTAAGTCTATTAATAGGCACATTGACCTATGCCCATCCTATCTAGCCTTAAGATCATGGAGTGCCAATAATCAGCGGCAACACCCCCGACGGCCTGATAACAATCTGGGTAGCACCCGCACCGCCCAACGAATCAGGTGCAATTCGAAAGAAGGGAAACAAACGCGAGGCACCTCGACCATCCCCGCGGGACTGCCGCAATCCCAGAAGATCAGGGGAGGGACAGGAACCAAGGTCCGGACCCCCGGCTACAAAGAGGAGATGAGGGAAGATACGGCAGGTGGAAATGCGGAGGAATCACCAAACGCAATGGCCTGCCCACACACCAAAAGAAACATCGCAGCTGGTCGGGAAAGGAGGAGAAGACCCCCCATGCAGCTGGAACGATCAGCTCCTACGAGGACAAACCACGGGAGGTGGTTGATGATGAACCCCTACATACCGTTAGAGAGGAGGAAGGAAAGTCGGAGAGCGGCAGGGGGCGAGAGATCGAGCTGTCATACCCCCTACCTGACGATCCTGAGGACTCCCATAGAACATACGCGAGCGCTTCCAACAAGGTAAAAAAGGGGAGAACTGAGGAAGAACACTGTAACCAGGAGGGACGCGCCTCGATGGCTGTGCACACACCCCCAGGATTGAGCACTCGGAGTAAGACACGTGCGAGACAGCTGGGCATGACAACGAACAAGAGACGACCCCTCCACCATGCGGAATACCCCCCCACGCTACACCAGACTCGTAACAATTTACGGGATTACCAGGATGATAAACATATTAAAACCGAAAGCATTGAGACCGGAAATATATGGGACTCTAAAAGTAGCAACCGGACAGAACGGGGTGGAGAAAGGAACTTGGAATGTCCACCACCACCCAAGCCTGAGGGGAGATCGGAACATGAAAGCAACCGAAATAACTGGAATTGCCATTCAGCTAATCTGAGGTTGGGAGAACTGGAGACGGACGAGGATAAAAATACAACTAAGAAGAGAAAAAAAGTGCAGGCCAACTACATACGGCTGAACCAATCAGGCCCCATAACAAGATCAAGGAGCCGAGCGCAAACCTCGGCACGCCTATAAAAAGACCTTCTCATTCTCTGGCACGCCAGCCCTGAGGAGGCCGGCAGGTGACGGCGAAAGCTTGGCGCTTTTTAAAACTTTTATAGTTTTAACCTATTAAAAACTTCCTTAGTTTTTATTACCCTAGTGTTCATTTTTATATTTTATTATGAATATCCCTAGGGTTCACATTTTTAACCTTTTTAATTGCATATATATATATATATATATATATATATATATATATATATATATATAGATATATATATATATATATATATATATATATATATATATATATATATACACATACATACACACACATACACACACACACACACACACACACACACACACACACACACACACACTGCCAAGAATCCTTTCTAGCTGCATCTGTACATCAGATGGATGTTCTTCTGAAGCCTTTTTATAGTGTAATTTAATAAAATGTGATTTTGTAAGAGGAAGTTGACTTTAAACGATTGGTACAAAGGGGCTGGTACTATTTTTAATTGAAAAAAGGCTATTTTCCTTTTTTAAGTTTTTAAAGTTTTCAGCCTTGAGGATTACACTTGAGTATTACTTTTTGTAACAATTTAAGTTTGGCAATAAAAATAATAACAATAATACTTTATGATTATTATTGTTATTATTTTCTCCACTTACTTTTCTCCTGCCTTTTTAATATCAAAAAGAAAATGGGGTGTTAAGTGAATCTGTAGGGTGCATAGGGTAAATACATAATAGAAACACAGACAATATTCTATACAATATATTCTATTTATATAAAATTCACTGAATGTTGCACATGCAGCATTTTGCAGTCATTTGGGAGGGGATGGTTTTCATTCTCTTGCCATATGCTATCTCCCTTTTTATTTTCTTTCTTTTCTTTTTGCTTATTTTGACTTCCTACAACTGAAGCTTGAGCTTCTCCTGTGCTGTTTTCTTTTTTTTGCAGCTTCAGATGGAAAGCCCTTGCATGTGAGTATCCTTAAGAACAGGTTACGTGTCTCATATGTTTCTGATTAACAGACGTTTTCCAAGAGAAGAGGAGAACCTTAGAAGAAAAGTTTGCATAAAGAGAAAGTACTGTATCAAATCATGTTGGTGAAAAATAAAATCCATTTTGGGTGGGTGAACTATGGTATGGTCATAAGATTAACATTTATTTCACCTGAGTAAGATTAATCAAATACAACTAAAAAGGATCAGATGTAACTATATTTGTTGAAGTCTACTCTGAGCACAAATACAAGCCATGTTACCATAAATTTTCCTGATCAGCTAACATGAATCAGTGTAGTACTGTCTTATGTACACATAGCTCCTGAAGAAACAGCTGCTGGTTTTTAGGTTAAGTGTGCTGGCAGGAACCAATTGAAAACAATGCAGAAATGGTTTTAAAATTAAAATTTAAAATTAGAATTAAATAGTTCTAAAATGCAATTAGAAAGTCAGCTAAAAGCCTAACTGTTTTTGAATGTGTCATGTGGGCCTTTCTTAAAAAGCAACTAGTATGTTAGACATCTTATGTCAGCTGGGAATGTATTCCAACGCTCTAGTGCAGTTATCATATTCATATATGTTTTCAAGTGCTTACATGATATCTTGATAGCTTTGTCATCTTGTTAAAGAAGTGTATTTGACTTGATACAACTGATTGAATGCTTCATTTCTTTTCATATGACATACTTTAAAACATGCTAGCTAGATGAGTGCACCATGTACATTGCCAGAAAAGAAATGGAAGGGTTGAAAAATTCTGTGCAATTTCTTTTTCATCCTATAACGAGAGAGGTTGTGTCAATGGTTTGTTATTCCCCTTTCTTAGGGAGAAATCAGATGCCGTCATCTGAGAGCCTCTGGCATCTGTCTCGACTCCCAAGTGAGACTGAAAGAAGCAGTTGTTCCAAACCTGTGTTCAGAGTGGCCAGTTGCTTATGTTTCATGCTTTGTTTTTCAGTGATGCTTCCCTGCACTTCCTTTTGCTGGCAAATTTATCTTGATATGCTAGCTTTCATGTGCTGTTCCATGAAATTGTGTACATATGTAAATGTGACTTTTTGTTGATGTTGTGTTATGATGCTTTGTTTGTTTTGTCAAGTGAAGCTTTCATTTTGTATTTATTGCTGAAAGTAAAAACTGCCTGACAGAAATGTTTTGAGATTTACAGACAGATAACAGTTAATTTATGGTAGTCATACGATCTTTGCAAATGCAGTTCAATCACCTTGAAATGCAGAAGTATTGTTAATGATTTACCCTTGTGGATAAATGTACATTGCATATGGTTTGTATATTTGGTACTAGTCCCATGCTTTGCCTTATATAAAAATATTCTAAAGCTAATTTGAAAATCATTTTCCTGTACAATTTGCTTTTATTATTCCCATAGAACGTGTTAGTTTCTTGGGAATGTTTTCATAAATTTCCCTGTCCAGTGCTTACATTTTCCTATAATCAGAAACATAATATTTTATTTATTTAGGTTTTATATATATCACTGTTGTTAATTGTTTATTCTCAGCCTCTCAGTTTAATCCAGTTTCTGTTAAAATGAGAAACAAATGGTCTAATGAACAGAAAAAGAATTAATTGAAGTACCCTACAGATATAGATAATTAACATGAATTAATTTAAAAAACCGATTAATAATGGAACTGGAAGGTAGGATAACATGTAGGGAAAAAATAAGAGGCTTTCCCCTCAGGAGAGTTATATCAAATATGTATATATATCCTATGAAAAGAAATTTTAAATTAATGTACAATGTAGCATTACAGTCTGGAATAGAGAAAAGATTTCCCAAATAGTAGTTCACTAAATTGGAATTCTGCATGTCAGGATCCTCCCTTAGAATATATAAGTGAAAAAGGAATTTAGAATTAAAGGAAAATTCCTATTTTAATAAAAGAACATCTTACTAAACTGATTAAATAGAATTTCACTATCATAGTATATTAATATGCATTTGCTTTTCTTGAAATCACTTTTGACTGCACTAATAGAAAAAGAACCTGCTTGTGGGTTATTGGAAATAAAGAATAGTCAAAATTGATCTTTTAACTTATTTCTAACTTCTTCAGAAATCAAAAAGAGATGGAATCATTTTAATTTGATTCTGTTGGAAAGATCTATCAAATGTCCTAATTGCCTTGCTCTGGTGTGTATTTCTAAATCATAGAGACAAATTGTGGAAAATCTTCCAAAATGATGTTTCATTGGAGTATATATGAATTGTTAAATTCATATAATTGTTAAAGAAGCTGTGTTATTTGCAATACTGATATGGTTGCTTTTAAGGTTGGTCCCAGTCATCTTCACATGATATTTTTATTCCTTAGCTGCACTTTCTGCCCTGCAGAGGCAGCTAGAAGCAATTATTCAAAATTTCTGGATAATATGGTTGCTTTGTGTTTTGAACAGAGGTGCTTGTATGCCCTCCCACAGATCACTGATATTTTGAACAGTTACAGTAATTATTTTGTCAGCTGATTCTGCTTTTGTACAGTTATAGTGCTAGCCTTGTGGTTAATGATTTGCTTCAGAAAACTGATAAAGAAGGCCGTATTAACTGATTATATACTGTGTCAAGAATATTAGTCTATTTTCAGGGCTCTGAACAGATTCTCAAACTGGTCCTCAGAGTGCCTTGTGCTATGATTGTAGAATAAATAGTGAAATTTTATTTATATGTTAATAATATTAATAACATGAGTACAATGTATACAGCATTTATCTCACGAGAAGTTATACTAGGTGGCTATAACAGTCAATAAAAAAACAATACATATATAAAGCAGACATTTAAAAATAGAAAAATCAGCATTAGAAATGGAGATGATTAAAACTAAAATATATACAAATCCCAAGCAGAGGGAGAATGAGTAATCCACCTCAACAGTGGAGCCATCTAAATAAATCTCTGGTTCCTTGGGACACCCAGACGTGGTAGCATAAACAGGTCTTGAGGAATTTCTGGAACACAAAAAGGGATGTCCAAGGAAGAGAATGTCCATAAGGCAAGTGCCAAAATAATAAATATAATGTATTATTAAATGTATTATTATTGTGTCCTTTAGTATGTTTTAGCCTAAGATAAATATGTCCTTTTCAACATACCCAGTTTTGCTATTAAAATAAAGTATCAATTAGTTGAATCATTTTTAACCCTAATAAAAAAGTAATGTGTCAGATGGAATAGCTTTTTTTTAAAAAAAATGAACTAAGACCTCAAGATAGAGTTTTTTAAAATACCACCACCAATTAAACTGCTGCTGCCTATTGTTAATTCATTCTTGTGTTACACGAGTTTTCATATAGAAATTTCACGTGGAAAGGAAAATAATTGCTACAATTTATACACATTAAGAATGGAAGCTAGAATATTGTGAATGAAATATTAGATGTTTTACTGTGACACAATTATAGAAACAGTCTTAAGATACATTGTGATAGTACTTGGCTGTTTGATTTGATTTTTACATTTGAAAGGAGGGGGCCTTTATAAATGCTAGTTAAGGGGAGATCAATCTAGAACAACAGCCTTAAACTTTAGCCTGTCACAGAAGATCCCAAATGCCACTAACCAGATGTCGTTTTTAAAATCAGATTGTCTTTCTTAGCTTTCTGTCTCCCTTTCTTCTTTTCTGTCCCAGTTCTCTTCTACATAGAAAACATCCTAAACAAGAAATTTAAAATTTCTATAGTGACTTTCAATCTCTTACTTGAACTCCAATAGACAGAAAAAATAGCACTGTTTTATTTATTTATTTATTACAAAATTTTATTTATAATACAATTAAAAAAAAAACATTGGATATAACATGATATTCCAGTATATACATTCTTATCAAATTATTCCACATTTTACAATTGATTCTTCATCTCTGAATATACATCTAAATTTTATATACAATATTTATTCTAAAATTACATATATTTCTATCTTAATGCTAGCCTATAATTCCAACCATCCTCCTCGAATCCCTCCAGCAGTAAAATTTATCCCAGGCTTCGAAATAAACTGATCTACATTTGTCTTTCAATACCATTGTGAGCCTGTCCATTTCTGCACATGATAATATTTTATATAGTGTCTCTTCCTCTGTGGGAATTTCTTTGCTCTTCCATTTTTGCGCGAATGCAAGCCTAGCTGCAGTCAAGATATGTAACAGCAAATAGATTGTTCCCTTATTGTATTTCTCTGTAGTTATTCCCAACAGGAAAAGTTCAGGTTTTAACTCTAAGTCCAACATTAATATATCTTTCAGCCATCTTCATATCTTATTCCAATACTCACAAGCCTTTGGGCATTCCCACCACATATGATAATATGATCCTATTGCTGTTTTACATTTCCAGCATAAAGGTGAGATATTTGGACCCATTTTGGCTAGCCTTATGGGTGGGAAGTGCCATCTATAAAACATCTTATAGAGGTTTTCCTTGTACGAGGTAGCTAGAGTGAGTTTCCTATTTCTTTCCCACAGTTCTTACCAAATATGCAGATCGATCTACCCTGTTAAGTTCTTCTTCAAGATTTCTTTGTCGCTGTATTTTAATTTTATTTTCGCTAGCCATATAAGCAATTACGACATCTCTCATGTAGGCTTTGGCTGTATTCCATAAGTTTTGGCAATTTGTATCTTCCTTTTTATTCATCTGAAAAAATAGGGCCATTTGATCTTCCAATTTCAATTTAAATTCTTTGTGGTTTAAAATAAATAGCACTGTTTTATGACCACATTGCGTCACTGAATTGCTCTTTAGTATGTTTAACTAAAATACATTGGAGTTCAAAAAGATCGTTTCAGGAAACAGTTTCCTAGCATTTATAAGATCTTTGTTCTTTTTTTATCATTTGAACTATTCAAAGTGGAATCATAAATTCCTAGGAGAGATTTTTGACTCTCCTAGGAATGAGGGGTCCTTAATGCTCTCTGAGCTTGCTTGTATTCTTGCAGACGTTTCATTACCCAAACTAGGTAACATCATCAGTGCTAGTAAGGAGTGCAGTTTGCTGTCAGTTTATATTCTGGTGGCTTGCCTGTCAGTGTCAGTCTAAGACCACCCACATCAACACTGACAAGCAAGCCACCAGAAGATAAACTACAGCAAACTGCACTCCTTACGAGCACTGATGATGTTACCTAGTTTGGGTAATGAAACGTCTGCAAGAAAACAAGTAAGCTCAAAGAACATCAAGGACCCCTCATGTCAACCCTGAGGTACAAATATTCTTCTTTATTAGTCTCCTAGGAATTTATGATTCCACTTCAAATAGTTTAGTGAAATATGAACTTGGAGCTTGGAATTATGTTTCCTTAGCTGTCACTTTATAAAAAAAACATTTCAATTGATTTCTTGGGACAAATGATTGTGATTCAAATTAGAGGGTAAAGTGTGTTGCTTTTTTAGCTCTCTAATGATAGACTTGAAAAAAACTATAGCAGACACCTTGAAATATATATATTTCTAATTATTTATTTGTTCACTTAGAAGCAGTATTTCCAGAAAGTTTGTTATTTTTCAACTATTAAAATTAGATAGTTATTTTCTATCAAACATACTGTATATATTTGAATATTTCTCATATTGCCAAAGAAACATAAGGAAATTCTGAGAACCTTTTTGGAGGTTTTCCACCTACATGAGTTAACTTATAGGTCACAAAAATTTCCACTGCAAGAAAAAGACTCCATGCTCATTAGAGCCATGCAAAATATTTGCAAGGGGCACTTTGCATGTGTGGGGCTGTGAACAGAGCAACCCTCCTCAAAGCATTAAGGCACATGCATCCTTTGAAAGGTTTGGCATCGCTGCTATGAAGGTTCTTTATGTGTATCCATGCAGAGGCAACATTTCTGCTGAGACTGTCACTGGATCATAAGATTTCTCCAAACTCAGTGCTTGAAGCATTGATATTCTGTATCATGTTAAAGATGTGAGTGGTTACACTGCTGAAATTTTTACCTGTAAAATATCACCTTGCAGGTAAAATGGCATTCATTGTAAAATGAACTATCTGTACATTTGATGCATGTTCAGACAATATAAGAAGAGCCTTAAAATAGCCTTACTAAGCTTTTGAGAATATACAATGATCTGAGTATCACCCACCCTTCTGGATGGTTTTATACAGCTTATCCCAAAGGTGCTTTTTTAAAAAGGTAACTGGACTTTGTTTTTCCTTGAAGACATTTCACTTCTCATGGATGTCTAGAATGAATATCCAGATTTTTTTAAAAAAAAATAGTCTACTTTTAGTAAGCCCTTTGTACTTTTAATAAGCCCTATTTCATATCTAAATCCCCATTTTCTTCATAATCTAAAAGAGATTTATGCAGGATTTGAAGTTAAATGCAAAACAGAATATGGCTTATGGTCAAAGTGTTTCAGTTTAGAGAATTTTAGGCACAATTCAAGTACTTGTGTATTGAAAAGGAACTTTACATTGCTGCATAACTCTCTGGTAGATAACAGAGTTTTTTTATAGCTGATATTTTCATAAAGAGAATCAAAATATTAATATAGTAATGGCATATCTTAAATATATGTATAGATTTTCTTGTGGGCTAGGTAAATAAAATAGTTGAACTATTGTATGTATTGCTTTTCTTTAGTATCATTTAATGCCCAATGGTGACAATACAAAGACAACCTTAACTGACCTCCCAAAAATTTAAGCAGGATAATACTCGGTTGAAAACTATCAGGAAAGTCTACTTGTGTGGTTGGATTTTTTCATGAAAACATGAAAAAACAAAAACAAAAAAACCCCAATCCTAGAAAACCTTTTTCCATTCCCTCAAATAAAGCATTGTCTCCAAGATACCATTCAGAGTTGAACTTGAATCAAAGGAGGCTACGATTAAATCCAATGCAGTAAAAAAATAATTCTTGCAATAGAAGAAATGAAATAGTACTTTTTGATTTGTGTACAGTTTGACAGGCTGCTTTGCAAAATATAGGTGTCCATGGACATGCACATTTGCAGATCCTCACCTGTATATGCCCAAGCATAACTAAAGGCATTCAAGAACCCCATACCTCAATGTGCAGAAAACTGCACTTATTATCCCATGCTATATATTTATATCTGTATACGTATATGTGCATAAGTATTGTTTGACAGTATCATTATCTGGATGAGAAGCTAGGCATAATATTCATTCATTCATTCATTCTTTCATTTATTTCCCAGCTTTACTTATAAATAACTCAAGGTGGCAAATATGCTTAATACTCCTTTCTCCTCCTATTTTCCCCCAGAACAAAAACCCTGTGAGGTAAGTTGGGCTGGGAGCGAGTAACTGGTCCAAAGTTACCCAGCTGACTTTTATGCCTAAAATAGAACTAGAATTCCCACTCTCCTTGTTTCTAGCCTGGTTTTTTAAGCACTAGACCAAACTTTTAGACTTTTTTTGTTTTTGTTTTTACTGAATTTATTTCTAGACCTAGCCAGTTCAAATTTCTCCTTATTTAAAAAACCCTGAAAATTAAATAACTATATTTGGGGCAATTTTGTTGAGAAAGTTGATATAAAGATATTCTCAAAGGAACAATTAAAATGTAAAATCTTATTTATATCCTGAACTACAGAACAAGAACTACTAACACTGGAATTACTTTTTTAAATTCCTGTATTTGTTTACATTTTTGGAAAGATTTTTTTAAATTTTGTTTTTAAAAATGTGTGCCATCTACACATTTCTTAATTTCAAGCCTATAAGTCATAAGAGTTAATTTAGTGAGCAGGTATTATAAATGCACAGAAAGAATTAATGAGCAAATCAAAGATGTCAGTCAAACATTAAGAAACATTTCTTAACAATATAACATCCCTAAGTATAACGAGCCTATGTCTGTCAAGGAATCTAACTTTATTGGGTCTTGATATACTTTAAGGTACATGATAAATAACTGTGATACACCATTAAATATTTAAAAAATAAATCCAATGTTGTGATAGTCATTTGAAATCTGTGTGAAGTTTAAATAGAACTATTATGTGGAAAGATAATTATATTTTAATGAAGGCAGGGGTTTTAGAAGAATGAATCAAACAAATTCAGTTGGAACAGTTCTGTTCTTTCTCAAGCTAGAAAAATGGTTGTCAGGATCCATCAAACATTTTGCTCCCTGAAACAAAGACTAAATAGTGTCCTTTCCTTATTCAATGTGCAAAACCAACTGATTACAAAATACCCTTCACTAAACACGAAGATTGCAGGACGGTTCGGAGGCTACAGGCAAGCTATAACTAGTTACTGTTTCCTCTTCCACAACAACTTGGTGCAGGAGATAGCAATCACACTCCACTAATAAAAGGATCACCTTGATGACTGCAAGTTGTTTTTACATACTGCAGTAATAGGATCTTTAAAATTGGTATATTAAAACATCACATTCTGTGTTACTCCAGGTTAGTTATAAGGAATATTTTAAGGAAAACAGAGATGTTTCAAGTCCTAGATAATTACAGACCAGGCTACATTAGAATAAAATGGCATAATGGAAAAAATGTTTATAAGAGGTACAGTAGATATGCAAGGGATAGGAGAAATACACAGATACTTACATATATAAAGATGAAAATGTACAAGTCCAACCTCTTTAAAAAAACAAAAACAGTTTTAAATGTTTTGAGACCATTGTTTTAAATTTAACAATGTAATGTAATATAATGTCACATGAATCATTGTAAACTTATATTTAAAAGAAAATGAGAAACATGGTTCCTAATGATACGGTTTATTCTTTTAATTTTTATGTTTGGTTTCTCTTTTCTAGAAAAAAGCTGGCTTAGCAATGTAGAAGTATTCCATTTGTGTCGTAGAAAAACCTCATGGATGTCTCTGAAAAAATTCACCTTCGACTGGAACTACTTGAAAGGTTATTTAATGAAGCTGCTTCTGCTGTCTCAGGGGCTTTAAGGCATGGTAGATTGTCTCATTTTTTGAACTTGTCTTTGGAAATGGAGTTGTGAACATTTTCTTCTGATATATATTAAATCAGTGTTTCTTAACCTTGACAATTTTAAGGCATGTGGACTTCAACTCCCAGAATTCCACAGCCAGCAATGCTGGCTGTGGAATTCTGGGAGTTGAAGTCCACATGCCTTAAAATTGTCAAGGTTGAGAAACACTGTATTAAATGATCATCATTTGAACTTAGAACAAGCTTGCTTTAAAGCCCTTAAGGCCTAATAATGCATTATTGGTTATCTATAAGTCACATTTTTCTGGAACTTAAAAGACATCAACATTAAAATTATAAACCAATTTCATACCTGTTTAAATGTTATGGCTACCAAATAAAAAATCCTAAGAAATACCATTCTTGTAAAAAGTTTATAGAAAAGCCTTAACATCTAAGCTACATTTAAACAGGTTGAGATTTGTTGTATAGATGTGACTCATAAAAAAATTAGAATTTTTTGCTTCTTCAATACACATATATCCAACTGATTTTGTTTCTTTTTCAATTAAATATTGTATGTTTCAATTAAATATTGTATGGGATTGCACTCTATGACTTAACAAAACTCTTCCTTATAGAAAAATAACTGCATAAGAACCTACTTCTCAAACATGTTGTAGTTAATTCAAAGAATTTATAATGTTATAAGTGCAGTAACAGCGATAGTGGACATTAATTTGCAATGAAAGATCTATACAGAAGATTTTGCTGAATAGTAAGAATGACCTTTTGAATCTCCTTAAATGTGGCCTACAGTCTTAGGAGAGTTTAGTCCAGAGGTGTCAAACTGCCAGCCCGCGGGCCAACTGCATCATAGCGAAACCACGCCTACCCAATTGCCGGCAATGGCAAAAAAAGTCATGATACATCGCGACACGTCACATAACGCTGCGAGTTTGACACCCCTGGTTTAGTCTGTCTTACTTGATTCTGCAGGAAATATGAGGCAGTTTCTTTCTTTCAAGGGCATTTAATCTTGAATTCTTGACTTCAACAGTTCTTGAGTGGCTAGCTCTCAGGTACTCATCCTCAAAACATTAAGTTTTGAAATGCTGATTCCAGGGTATAAACATCTTAGCCAAAATGATAGCAATAACATCTCCAATAGCAAAGACAAAATAAATTTGACTTTGCTATTTCTTGTCTCATTTCAGGAGAAAAGTCAAATGTTAATAAATATTAAAGGTAGAACCATTGCTTGCTAGCCAGTTTGAAACAACTATCTTCCAATTTTACTTTTATTTCTTTTAATGCTGGAGTCCCCAACCTCTGGGCCACAGCCCACTACTGGGCCCTAGCCTATTTGCAACTGGGCTGTGTGAGCAGTGCCCGCCAACCTGCCTCTTGGACAAGTTGAGCTGAATGTGCATGAGTGCACCAGCTCACTGCTTGCATGGCCTCATTCCCGTCTCCCTCCTTGCTGGGCCACCAAGCCACAAAGGTTGGGGACCACTGTTTAATGTATAATAAAAGTAGTAGAAGCACACCACTTAGGCCAATCATAGTATTTTTCCAAAAGTGCCATCAATATGAACTAATTGGAACAGTTAGTGCTACATAACTCTAAACTAGGAAGATCTGAGTTTCTAAAAAGTCAGGTAAAGATCTGCTTGTCATATTTTAAAGATATTTTTCTCATAAGGTAATTGTTGCTCTATTCTTCATGATTATTTTTTTGTTGAAAGAAATATTATGGCCAACATGTCTGCAGTGGAGAGGGTCAAAATCTGCAAAATGGATGCTGTGGTATCATCATCAAAGCTACATGCTTTAATGGTGGTGTAGTGGTTAGAATGCAGTACTGCAGGCTAATTCTGCTGACTGCTGAGTGCCAGCAGTTCGGCAGTTCGAGTGCTCAAGGCTGACTCAGCCTTCTATCTTTCCGAGGTTGGTAAAAAGAGGACCCAGATTGTTGGGGGCAATATGCTGACTCTGTAAACCACTTAGAGAGGGCTATAAAGCACTGTGGAGCAGTATATAAGTCTAAGTGCTATTGCTATTGCTACATTATTTTTGTACCTATGGCAGTAAATAGTGAACTTGTGCCTACAATTTTGCTAATGTTGACTTCCCCAGGGACCTATATGGCAGTGGCCAAACTGGCATGACATTAAATTCTGATTGCTTTTTTTTTTGCAAATACATTCACTCCAAGTCTACAATTTGCTTTTTAAAAACTTAATGTTAAGATACATTTGATATCATAGTTGAGTTCTGTGCTTGATGCACAATGATTAACAATTGATCTTGGAAAGATCTTTAAAGCTTAACTTCTATCCTCCTGTTTTGGTCTCTAACATTTAAAGTTTGCCTTATTTCTCATAACCCGCGGGCCAGTTTCATCATACTGAAGCCGTGCCCACCCCATTGCTGGCAATGCAAAAAGAGTTGTGATATGTTGTGACATGTCACGTGACGTGGCAAGTTGTAATTCATATATGTTGGGCAGGCAAAAGGAACACAGAACTCATTGTGTTTTTTTCTCTCTCTATCCTGAATAGAGATAGCATATCAGGTAACTTAAAGCAGTATGTCTGAAAGATTTATATAACTGAGTATCTTCTTCTTGTTGTTGTTTGTTAAGTACAGTTTAAAAAATAAGTTAGTGGCAGTGTTTAGTTGTGTAAGTGAGATAGATGATTTCTAAGCAAAGCAAAACATGAATAAAGATGATAAATTCCCCTCTAAAGGTGGGATGGTAATGTTAACTTGTCAATGGTGACTTTTCCCTTTTCTTCACTTTTAAATTTAAAAACTTTACCTCTCATACTTGGTGGACATATTTTTCCACATTTTTTAAAATTTCTAAAATGATTATTTTCCAAATACATGTGTGGAGCTTTCTTTCATCTTTATTTTCTGATAAAAATCACATGATCATAAATAGGTCGCGGGCTATGTGCAATCAGATTATCATTGTTAGAATGTAGTAGATGGAAGAAGAACCCTCACCCTAGCCTCATTGTTTTCTATATATCATTAAAAAAATTAAAAAGGGGAGAAAGCTCATATTCTCTCTCAATTTACCCAGGAAATGGTGCATTCCATGTGAAAAAGACAGGGAAAAAATGACTCTTTTGTAGAGGCTAATGTCTCCTATGAATGCCAGAATTTTGATTTGACTGGCATTCCTTTATGCAGCCAATTCTAACCTTTATTCAGAGGTAAATACCCTAAACATAGGATTTTAACCTTAGTGTTACAATTTTACTTCAAAGGGTAAAATTAGAAGAGCCCACAAACTAAAGATATTACCATGGCATCTCATTTAGTGCGCCAGTGCCACACTGCCGTATTATTTTATTTAAATTCATGGTATGGATTAATTTAAAACATGTATACATTCTGTACCTCACTAATAAAAATATGCACAACAAACACAATATTTTGCACAAGTAATGAAAATGTTTCTCAGAGTGAACTCCTGATAATGTCAAGAGATAAATAATATATATTTTTATGCCAGGACATATTATTCTTTCTCTGATACTAGCATCTATACATGAAAGAAAAGTTCTGAATCTAAAGTGATCAAACCTATCAAAATGTTGAGTCACCAAGAGACTGTGATAGCCAAAATGATCTCTTTTTAAAGTGTGTATAACTTAAACTGGTGTAAGTAACATATTGTTGCCTTAACCTGAGAATGAGGTAGACATATACATGAAACATACCCATTTGTAATTAATGTCTGAAGTGCAATACTGATTGTGCAATGCTGATTGTAGTTCTTTACAATGGTACTCATGCTTAGTGCCTATATAATAAATTGTGATTATGATAAATAATCAAGCAGTGTATAATATCTATTTTTGTGCCTCATCATCCTTTCACATAATTTACTGATACAAAAGCCTTTTTACTGTTCACAAAACCACCTGGAATTTTCAACTTGGGAAGGTGTGGAACCAATATACTGTATACATACAGTCCCAATACCCAGTCCTTACAGGTAGTCCAGAATGGTAGCATAATTGATGGTATAAAACATTGCTGAGGGATCAGAAGAGGTACATTCCCACCATCTAGTTTGCAACAGAAATCATCAGTCAAAGAGATCAGTGCGGTTTCTGCCCATGATCAGCAATAAAAAAGGAATACCATCATATCCTTTCTTGAGCAAGACACTGGTGCTTTTCTTGTTTAGGCATCCAAAGAAAAGTGGTGAATCAACTACCAAAGATAAAACAGAACTTGTTGAAACTCACTTAAGTTTTTTTGAGCTTGGGGGGGGGGGAGTGTGCATATGTCTATCCCACACAACACATGAATGTGCTGAAGTCATGTTAACCAATACAGTAACAAATAAAATGTCCTTAACTGCATTTATAGAAGCTGGATGATTTGCTGAAAACAAGTTCACCTATAGTTATACCCAGTGCTTTTTTTTTTGTAACTCACATCTTGTTTATCTTTTATTTAAAAAATTATATATTCAGTCCTTAACATAAATTTACCTTTTGCAGGTAGTCAATCACTGTACACACACCTACACACATCAGTTGTGTAACAAAACATAATGGTCGCCACCTGCAGTAAGCACGTGATCACACGACCAATCACAAGCCGAGCAATGCCACAAGCCGAGCAGTGCAAAAACAACCAGTGCGGACAAAGCACGCATGTATCGGACTCGACACACAAGCAGCCCGCATGCACCATTTTAATGATTTTGCTGCCAACCTGCTATGCTTAACAGGGTGATTCAAGTGCACATGGACCAAACATCAAATTTTCAAAAGTTACTTTTAAAACTTGGAAAATCCTTTGAAAAAAGGTGCCGGAACTATGACAAAAAAAGCACTGCTTATACCATCACTAATGATTGATCAGAATTTTCTGATTTTCTGATCAGAAAATTTCCCACAATTGTAAGGAGAGACAAGAACTAGCATATGATTGGCATATGAGGCTCCAATTATTTTTCTTGTGCTAGAATGGTTAGTTAAGTCTTATGTTTCAGGATTTATGCTTCTCTGCAATAAAGATTGTAAATCCTGCCTGCCTGTAACTATGAGCCGAGCCAAGCCATGATCAGAATTAAGGGTTAACTATCTTATTTATTGTCCATATTCTGTGGAAGTTTCTCATGCTATCTTCTCTTAAAATGTACGTGAAATAAAGATAGAAAGACTTAAAAGATAATTATATAGTGAAAAATAAGAGGCTATCGCCTATCAATGATAAATGAGAATTTCATTTAAATTTTATCTGTCTGTCTGTCTATCTATCCATCAGTCTATCTCCTATCTTAATTTCTTTAAAATGAAATAATTAAAAATATAGAAGCAGTTTTCATTCTAGTATTAATCTCATAATTCCAACCAGTTGTTCAAAATGTTGTATTTCTTTTCAGTGAAAAATAGGTATGTTCCTATGTTCTGGTCAGTTTGACTTTTAAGTTAATTTAAGAAAATCCTGACTGAACTAAGATTCTTTGGAACAAATTGTGAATGACTCAGTTCTTCAAAAGAAGGCTATCAGAATTGGACAATTCTGCTGCTGTGCTTTCTCACCTACTCAGAGAAGAAAATATCAATAATTTTTCTTCCCATGGGCAGGTCTTCCTAAACATATAGACACTTAGGTGTGTGTGTGTGTGTGTATGTGTTTTCTCTCTGTGTAAAATTTTTGGGAGAGGTGAAGTTTCAGTTTGGATCTAATATCAATAGTACACTGATGAAATCTAAATATATATTTCTATACATAGAGGAAAGAAGGCGGGAAACAAGAATACTCTCCCTTTTCACTTACAGCAGGCATGTCAAACTGCCAACCTGCGGACCAGACACGTCATGCCGAAACCGTGCCCAACCCATTGCCGGCAATGGGGAAAAAGTCACAATACATCATGTGACATCACGTTATGTCGTGTGATGTCACATGACATCATGAGTTTGATATGCCTGATTACAGCAACCAATCACAGTTTAGATTGCATCATGCAGTGGCCAGCTCTCTTCAACCAATTAGCAATAACTCTGTATTCTTACTAATTGTCCAACCCTTCACTGCTCCAGCTAGTAAATTAAATATGTTAACAAGGTACTATAATTCTTTATACTCCTTCATTAAGATACAAATATCTCAAAAGCAACTTAAACATAAAGCAAAGTTTTACTGATCAAATTATTTAAAGGCCATATTTATCTACAGCCAAACAATTTTTTCTGTGTTCCTATCCTCAGAGGTTCTTTTCATGTGTGGCTTCTTCATTCTTGGTAGTGAAACCGTGTGTGTAACATTATTATATCTACTTGGAAATGTGGAGTGGGAAAAGATAGGAGTTTACAATGGTGGTGGTGGGGTGGAATACAAAGCTTTGACATTGGTTTGAAGGTGAACATTTCTGGTATGTAGACCTATCAGGTTCGTAGAATATGTTTCTAGGGATTTTTAATAAGCAGATATGGACCAGTACTATAATGACTGGGTTCCTACATTTCAGTATGTCATAATACAATTTGTTTGGTTTGGACTCAACCTGTTGAATGAATAAGAGCCCTGGTAGCACAGTATTGCAGGCAAATTCTGCCCAAAGCCTGGAGTTTTATCCTGATTTTTTAATTTAAGAAAATTAAAAGAATTTGGTACACTAGCTGGCTTTAAGACTATTACACAGAAGCCAAACATGTTAATAAAATATGTCATTGGTGGGGGAAACTACAACTGAACAATCCATGACTTAAATCTTAAATATTGTATATAGTTAGTCCTTTACCTATGACCACAATTGAGCCCAAAATTTATGTTGTTAAGTGAGAAATTTGTTAAGTGAGTTTTGCCCCATTTTATGACTTTTGTTGCCCCATTTGTTAAGTGAACCTGGTTTCCCAGTAAGGTTCTACATTTAGGCAAGAAAAACCAAATGTACAGGTACAGCATAGGGGGTACCTTGCTCAATAGTAGTAATTGTGAGAGGGATCTCAGAGTCCTAGTGGACGATCACTTAAATATGAGCCAGCAGTGTGCTGCAGCTGCTAAAAAAGCCAACACAGTGCTAGGCTACATTAACAGAGGGATAGAATCAAGATCATGTGAAGTATTAATACCAGTTTACAATGTCTTGCTAAGGCCACACTTGGAATACTGCATCCAGTTTTGGTCACCACGATGTAAAAAACATGTTGAGATTCTAGAAAGAGTATAGAAAAGAGCAACAAAGATGATTAGGGGACTGGAGGCTAAAACATATAAGGAATGGTTGCTGGAATTGGGTATGTCTAGTTTAATGAAGAGAAGGACAAGGGGGGACATGATAGCAGTGTTCCAATATCTCAGGGGCTGCCACAAAGAAGAGGAAGTAAAGCTATTTTCCAAAGTGCCTGAAGGCAGGACAAGAAGCAACGGATGGAAACTAATCAAAGAGAGAAGCAATCTAGAACTAAGGAGAAACTTCCTGACAGTTAGAACAATTAACCAGTGGAACAACCTGCCTCCAGAAGCGGTGAATGCTCCAGCACTGGAAGTTTTTAAGAAGAGACTGGACAGCCATTTGTCCAAAATGGTATAGGGCTTCCTGCCTGAGCAGGGGGTTGGACTAGATGACCTCCAAAGTCCCTTCCAACTTTACTACTACTACTACTACCGCTACTACTACTACTACTACTATTATTATTATTTTGCTTGTCAGAAGGTTACAAAAGCAGATCACATACCCTGGGACACTGCAACCGTCTAAATATGAATCAGTTGTTAAGCATCCAAATGTAAATCATGTGACCATGGGGATGCTGCAAACCCCATAAGTGTGAAAAATGGTCATAAGTCACTTTTTTCATTGCCTTTGTAACTTTGAATGGTCACTAAGTGAATTGTTGTAAGTCGAGGACTACCTATATAGTTTGAATAATTTATATACTAAAAGATAAGACTTTTTTTCCCTTTTAGGTTCAGAATAATGGGAGGTTCCACCCGTCAGTGTGTTTTGAAATCAGGCAATAGAGATCTTCCATATTGTGAACGTAAGATGATACTTTATTTTAAGCTTATTAGGTTTCTTTTGGTGCTTTTATGTTAACTTCCTCATAGCAAAAGTTCAACCTACCTTCCCTTTAGGTGACTAATTCTGCTTATTTATAAATATGAGAAATGCCTAAATGAATCATGTCAATAGAATTTATCTACTGTACTCTTTCCTCCATTGTCTGAGTAGAATACAGATCCAACATGCTTAAACCAGGTGAAAATTACAAAATAAAAATAAAAGCAGTAACATAAAGTGCAGCAACACCAAGTACTGCAAAGAATGTGGATCATGTTAAGTAAGCAAAACTTCACTACAAGAGAGAACAACCCTGAAATATTCCAATTCCCAAGACCTGCAGGAACAGCCAGGTGTTTATGGTTGGAGCCGTTTTTATCTCGGGGGGGGGGGGAATGCTGTTCCACACAAGGATGGCATTTCTGAAGATATCAAAGTCATAAGCTATTTGGGACTTTAATAATGACAACCACCAGTGCAGTTCTCAAGGTAATGGTGTTGTATAGTCAAATGAGATACACCCATAACTATTTGTATTTTTGCATTTTTTGACTAGTTATACCTTCTCAGTGATTTTCATGGACAATGCAATGTACAGTGCACCGCAATAGCTCAGCCAAGAGATTTTTTTTAGTCATGTATGAGTGACTGAGAAGAGCCAAGAGAGATTGAAACTGACACACAATACCACACTCTGGAAAGGTTCCACTAGCCACAGCTGTTATATATTCCTGGAGGAGGACCCATGTCAGGCAGTTCCCTTCAGATTATGAAATATCCTGGATTAAAAAGAGTTTCCCCCCCTTTGGAATCAGATGGCTTCCTAATGCAGTTACTTCATCTTGCTTAGATTAAACTTTTTCCACATCTTCTGGTTTCCAGGCATCAGGACAGCTGTATCACCTGTAGAGCCTCAACTGAAGGTATAAAATTCAATTCAATATGAATGCTGATAATACCTAACTGCATTGAGAAATGATTTCTCCCACCCACCACCCACTCCCGTGGCTTCATGTAGTCAATAAATAATACCATCAAGTGCCCTTAAGCTTGATCTTTTTTTCTGTCAACACTATTGGAACCAGTTTAAAGGATACGAGGTAGAATATTTGCAGTATAGTTAGCTGAATCCTTCCCTTCAGATCACAATGTTGCTGGACTGAGTTGTTGGAAATATTTCTATATCTGTACAGTTCTCCATGCCAAATGGGACTTGAATTGCTCCTAGTCTTCCCTTGTATAAGAAAGTCCTTGCACTTACAATCCGTTAGTTAAATGGTAATAATTCAGTTTCTTCAATAGAGAAATATGTACACAAACCATTTTGGTCCAGTGAATGAAAAACCTTCCTATACACCTGATTCCTCCTTCTACTTTGGCTAGGCTGGTCCTTGCAGAATGTGGTATTTGACTGTCTTGTTCAGAGTTACAGATTAGGATCCCATTTACTTAAATTTCTTTATTGGAAGAGTCTGAAATATAAGAACAAATCTTGGGAAGCAGAAAGATGGAAGCCTCCTATGAAGCTTATTCCATGACCAGTGATTTCTATCTAGTGCTAATTTTGCCCACTCACTTATTACACCTTCATTCCAAATCTGGATTATATAAGTAATTTTGTCTAACCATAATGTTAAGAAAGGATGGCCAGCAAAATAATAAGTACATTGTGCTAAGTCATGTTTTGTTTTAACTATAGTTTGCTTGATGCAAAGAAGTGGATATGATTAAGCTATAAAGCATGATTTATAAACTTAGTTTACACATTATACTGCACCAAAATCCAAATGATTTTTGAATCCATCCGATGCATAGTTTCAGAATGGGATAAAACACAGGAAATGCAAAGTTCAAATCAATCAAGTTTTCTAAAGTAATATGATTTATGTTTTATTTAATGGTAATATGGTAGTAATCAGTGGTTTTGAATATCCACTAAATGGTCCACCTAAAAAATGCAATGCCGGAGGTGCTTCTGAATGCACGCACTTCTAGCATTTTTGTAAAAATTAAGTTTTATTTTACATTCTTATTTCAGTTCTCCCCTCATAATACTGCTGGTGTAATTCCTGATTCAAAAATAATACTGCAGGATTGCCTTCACAACCCAAAGCATTAGTATTTCAGGATTCAAATAAAATTGCCATTTAGACCTAATATATTGGAAAAGTGTACAACACATCAAAAATTGAGCTTTTGAAATATAGTCCCTGTTGGCAGCTCTTTAAAGGAACTCACCTCTTCCAGGTAATGCTGCCTTCTACTTGGTTAGTTTCTCTTTGTCATGGAAGCAAATAGAAAATTTATAGCACTATCATAAATTACAAATACAAACAATTTAAGGGTAGGGAATTTAAGGAGTATTTTTTTCACACTGATCACCTAGCAGTGGCTCACAAGAAGCAAACCCAAGGAATGTAACTGCAAACATTATTCTTTAGTAAATGAAGTTTCTCCGTAGTTCTATGGTTATTAAAAGTAGACTTGTCGGAATATAGAAAATGCTTCCTATTGGTCCACTCATCTAAAAAGCGCCACTAATCAGGTCTAAGAATACACAACAGGCAGTGAGACTTGGAAGGAAACTATTTGAAACAATGTTTCAATTTCCATGACTAATGAGCAAGCAGAAGACAAATTCCAGGAGAAACAATTTGGAGTTTACTTCCTATAATTTTTATATGTGAAAAGAAGGTTTAGCCAATAGTTAAGAAAGGTGATTTTTCTTCCGCCAAGGATGCCCTGCCCCTGTTTGTCAGGCGCTACCTTGAACTTATTGTACTGCACTGCCCTACCCTGATGTTCATTCCCCCAGCTGCTCTTGTGGAGAGTTGAAGTGTTCCTTTTTGCTTTTCAAATGATACTTTTTCAAGCTTGTCAGAGCAGCCTTCTAATGTGGGCTTGGCTGTTCCTGTCAGCACTCTTTTGGCTGCCTGAGATTCAAGGTAAGTGGCAGAGTCCTTGAATGCCTGTCAGAGGCTATTTTTAAAAAGCAGGATTGGCGTTGCGTGTAGGGAGGGGGGGGGATTATTTATCCCTATAAAGACAGGTTATCTGACATTCTAATTATTCTTTATGTTTGGATTACACTGAGACTTCCTGGTCAGTATGGAAATAGTCCCTCTGCCTGTAGACAGGCAAATTGACTGCTTTGATACTGTTCCCTTGGTGCTGAATTTTTGACATTTACATCAGTTACTGGTTTGTAAAAATGTGATTTTGGACAAGTTCTTTGTCACTCTGTTTCTCTCTGTCTGTCCATCTGTTGATCTTCATCACCAGGACCCTTGACTGTGCTTTTTAGTTTATTCTTGTCTAGTATTTCTACAGAGAAATAGATTTTGAGACTTTATTTTAAAAATAGAAGAGCGTAAAAAGGATTCTATATATTTTTTTCTTTTTACAATTATGTAGTTTATTTTTTTCTGCTTTTATAATATCAGATAGGTGCATTAACATAATTGCAAAATAAATTAAATAAGAAATAAAGGAAATATAAATAATATTCAGTACCATCTAAATAAAATGTCAAATACTATATATGTGAAAATTCATCATATATGAGGAGTATACCAGATTACAATCCATTACTATTAAGGTAAATCATAAAATCTCACCAACTTTGATCACATTATAGTTCCTATTTCTGAAATCCCCTTACTTAACTTTAACTGTGAATTGTGAGGCAAGCCAGAGCAATTGAAAAGGCTTTATTTATCCACCACTCAGTTGTTATATTATCTAAAGTTTCCAGTGTTTCACATTTTGGGGGGGGCTGCTATAATTAAATAGATAATCAATTCTTTATTCTGAAGCTTATGATCTGGTCTGTAAGTAAGTGCAATAAGCCTAACTCTGGGGATCATTCAATTCTTGTTTAGTGATGATACTTACCTCTCAGAAAAATTGCTGAAAGCTTATAATTTTATCACATGACTACCACAACTGAAAGACTGACCCCTGTTTTTGGACAACCTCTCCAGAATAATACTGATGTGTACCTGCCAACCTAAGAGGAGTCAAATACAGGTAGTCCTTGACTTATGACCACAAATGAACCCAGAATTTATTTTTTTAAGGGAGATATTTGTAAAGTGAGTTTTGCCCCATTTTACGACCTTTCCTGACACAATTGTTAAATGAATCATTGCAGTTGATTCAGTTAGTAACATGGTTGTTAAGTGAATCTGGCTTCCCCATTGAATTTGCTTGTGTGAAATCACATGACCCCAGGACACTGCAATCATCATAAATATCAACCAGTTGCCAAGGATCTGAATGTTGATGACATGACCAAGGGGATGCTACGACGTTTGTAAATTTGAAAACTGGCCATAAGTCACTTTTTTCAGTCTGTTGTAATTTTGAACAGTCACTAAATAAAATGTTGCAAGTTAAAGACTATCTGTACTAACAATGCCATAATCTTTCACTGCATTTCTCACATTGAAGCTGAGGTGAATCCTTCCGAGATCAGTAAAATGAGGACCCAGATTGTTGGGGACAATATGCTGACCCTATAAACTGGTCAGAGAGTGTTGTAAAACACTATGGAGTGGTATACAGGTAGTCCTTGACTTACAACAGTTCGTTCAGTGACCATTCGAATTTACAACAGGATTGAACAAGTGACGTATGACCGTTTTTTACACTTTTGACCATTGCAGCATCCCCATGGTCATATGATCAAAATTCAGATGCTTGACAACTGACTCATATTTATGAGAGTTGCAGTGACCCAGAGTCATGTGATCACCTTTTGTGACCTTCTAAGAAGCAAAGTCAATGGGGAAGCCAGATTCACTTCCTTGGAAAATTTTTAGTTTTCTCAAAGAAGGTTAAAATACAAAACATCAAAATATTTTTAAAAAGGACAAAAGAATTAACACAACAAAAAAGACATTAAATCAAAAAAGTGTCTTTAAAAAAGAAAAAGAAAAGAAGACTAACACACATAATCTTAACATCTTCCCTAATTGAATGCTGATTAATATACAGCAATTGCAAAATAGGCCAATTTTTTTTAAACTATTAAACTACTAAATCTATTTACAAATTATTAGCCTGTCATCTATACACTATATTAATAACAAGATAGTTAACAGAACAAACAATAATAATGAATACATTATATAAAGGTAATCAAAATTGTGAATAATAATAAGAGAAAGACAAGATTGAAATTCCAAAACCCTTTGTTAACAAACTGTTTATAAGAACGTCCTGCCGGCGCGCGAAACAAACGATCCACCAGGTACGTTGCGGTAGTCAACAAAGGTTTATTTCTCCGTTGAAAACAAAACCAGCTCTGGGACACACCCCTGCCCTGCTTCCTAAATAACCCGATCACCACACCCACTGTGTACGCCCCAATCACCCTGATTATCCCCGTAGATTACAGCCCCCACCTGTACCGCGTCTCCACCCCGCCCCCTTCCCAGCAACCACCACTTGTCAGACCCAGCGTCCTATATTTATATGTCCATCTTGCATAATGCCGGTCTATCCCGTCCTCTCCGTCGGCATGGTAATTAGTCATATGGGCCGTTCATCACTGTGTAAGCGCCGGCAGCAGTTCATTCACGTCACCGGTGCTCGGCTCCCACAGGGCTGCTTAGAGCGCTGTACGGAGATTCGGATACCGTGCATCTTCCACACGCAGGTAGGTCTCACGCTGGGTCTGACATTCGGCTCCCCCTTACCATAGAGCCCCCTGAAATGGAACATGAACAATTACATCCATTATCTAGCCATCGTGGGCGTATCACCCATCCCCTAGCCCCTTAGCTTGTGTGGCCACATCCTGTGATATCGACGGGTGAGGGCAGGGGCGAAAACATCCTCCTCCCGTACCCAGGATGCCTCAGTTAAGGGGTATCCCTTCCATAACACCAGGTAATACAGGGTGCCCCTCCGCCACCGAGAATCTAGTATGTCTTGTACCTCATACCTTCCCGGGGCAATGGGTCCTGGGGGAGGTTTGTTGTGGGTGTCCCCCTCTACCGGCTTCAACAAACTCACATGGAACACTGGGTGTATCTTACCAAGCAATTCCGGCAACTGAAGCTGCACCGTAACAGGGTTGATGATGCGTACTCTATAGTATGCCTCACGGAGGTCTAGTTTTGTAAAGATTTTCCCAGCTGCCAAATGGGTAAGTAGGTCTTTCATAAGTGGCAGGGGATACACCTGGTCTATGCACACAGCGTTCAGGCCACGGAAGTCTACACACAATCGCAATCCCCCGTCCTTTTTCCCCTGGAATATGACTGGGGCTGCTATCCTTGAACGTGCTGGCTCTATAAAGCCCCTAGCCAAGTTCTTATCAATGTACTTTCTCAATTCTTGCAATTCTGCAAACGTCATAGGGTACATTCTGGGTTTAGGCAGCTTGGCCCCAGGAGCGAGTTCGATTGCACAATCTGTCCGTCGGTGAGGCGGCAAACAGTCACACTCTCGTTCGCTGAACACAGCCGCGAGGTCTTCATATACCCGTGGATATCGAACCTCACCCTTCTCCTGTACCGGTTTTGAGGAGTTTAACTCCTTACCCCTAGTCTGGTCATCCGGCGGCCGCGGTTGAGGACCCACTGCTAGCCTTAGGTGTCTGGATCCCTCCGCCCACCAGATCGTTGGTGTCCACTTATCCATCCACGCTAACCCCAGAATGACAGACTCGGACATAGTGGGAACAACTATGAAGCGTATAAGTTCCCAATGACCCCCTATATCCATTCTAACAGGTTCCGTCACCAATGTAGTCGGAACCCCCCCCAACAGAGAGCCATCCACTTGTTCAAAACGAATCGGGGATTTTAGCCGGGCCACTCTGATCCGCATCTGTTGCACCACTCCCTTACTGATTAGGCACCTTGTGCACCCTGTGTCCAGTAATGCCGAAAGGGGCATCGACTCACCCGTAACCGGGCTTGTTAATGTAATCGGGATGGTGAAGGGGACGATGGGTTCACTCACCATTGGATCCTCCACCGGCTCTTCCTCCTCGTACTCCTGCAATATAGGGGACGCCTCATCGGGTTTCTGCTGGACCTGCGACTGTCCCAGTTGGTAGGCAACCCGTGATTTCTCCGCTGGTCTCTTCGGCGTGATCCCCGGTGTCCCAATCGCCGTAGGTGTACCTGTTAGCTTGGGTATTCCACACTCCGCGGCTCGATGACCCGGCCGATTACAGCGGAAGCATCTGAAGGTAGGCCTCGAACGTACCGTTCCCGGTAGGGTCTGCGTGGTACCACTCACGGGCTGATCCTGACTTCGGCGGGGCCTATCCTCCCGCCTTCCGGGATGATCCCTCAGCCCGACATCCAACTCTACCGCTGCCCTATACCAGTCGGCTAGACGCCCCACCACCCCCCTGACTATACATGCTTGACGGATGGTGGTATCCAGGCCAGTGCGGAAGTGGTGGATTAGCAAGCTGTCTGGCCATGACCTGAGTTTCCCTGCCACCTTTTGGAACTCGCGAATGTATTCCTGTACTGGTCTACCCTTTTGCTGCAATCCCACTAACTGGGCCTCAGCCCGTAGTTGGCGTGTTGGGTCCTCAAACCTCGTTTTCAGTGCATCGAGGAAAAGGCCTACATCGGCCAGCTCCCTGGCTTGGTCGCTATATAGGTCTGCGGCCCAAGCAGCGGCCTCTCCTTGCAAACTCGCCGTGACAGCTACCACCATTGCCCAGTTGGACGAATACAGGGTTGTATAACGGTCCAGATGGTTCAGTACATGGCTAAGGAATACTGCCAGACGGTCCGGATCCCCATCGAACGTGAGGGAAATGGGTGGAGGATTCCACATCACCTGCTGAGGCCATGGAACCGGCACCTGACCGCCATATGGGCCCATCCCTGGATGCGCCATGGGACGGGATCCCGCTCCCAGGGGGTCCGCCCCATCCCCGTCCGGACCCTCTGGTGAAGGCCGCACCCCC